ATATCTCGAATGCTATGAAGAGAATTTTTCAAAGTAAACTGAGATTTGAAAATGTCTATTCAATTGAAAATGTTGAAATCGATTTGAATAATATTTAATGTTATTTTATCTGTTGAACAAAATTTAAAGAACTTGTTGTTTGAGAAAACAGTTCTGTTCTCTAAGCGAATGAGTGAAATTAATTTTAGAGATACAAAGATCTTTGCAGATTTTCTACAATCACAAAATCACACGTGCGCTAGAAACATTCGTATATGGCCTACTTAGTGCAATCTCTATTTTGTAACTCGTTTTGTAACGCATCCAACTATTTCTTTTTGCGCGATTTCATGACACCCTTTTTACTTAACTGTTAGACAATTTATAATTTCAATGTTAAAAACACAAATAATGAGAAAACACATGACTCAATGTATCTCTATCAGGTGACAGGTGAAAGGTGTAAAACTTGATTCCACAACGGACATTGACATGCGATAATGTGTTATTTCGATTGAATGGCTTAACTGTACAGGTATGAGTTACCAGTGTTCCACGAGAAGTTTCTAACAATGCGAAATTAGCATAAATCAGACTTAAAGCTTTTGTTTCTCTTCCTTGTTTTCCTGTTTTGAAAATAAAAGAAATTATCAGAATTTAGCGCTATTGTTTTTTCGGGTTTTAGAGCAAACGGCTACCTTCATCAATCCATCTCATATACGGGGGCGGAAACATAGACCGTGTCTTAAGTGGAATGTTCAATGATGCGTTACATTTTATTTTACAAGGAAGTGGGCCTCATTGGTAAACGAAGCAATTGGGTCTAAATTCTCACATTAAAGTTGATTGTAGTGACACAAGTCAAAACAATTCTGCTCACAGTAGTGTCTCAGAAGTAGAAAAAATGAAACAATTTAATGTCGCATGAAATCAAACCATTGACTTGTAAAAACACGTGCGAGGCAATCCGTTAACTACAGATAACAATAATGATACAATATGGTCCATAAACTCCTATAAACCATTATGTAATAGACAGCCCAAAATTCATTTTGATCCAAAATTTTGTTAATTTGCCTTTTTGGTTTATTTAAATGATCGCTATATATGTTAGCTGCTAGTCTGACACAACAAGCACATTGGCAATTGATAATTCGCGGGTATAGGCAATCGTTTTAACCAACGAAAACAGCGTAGTGTAAATGAAGACTGATAATGGTGAAACAAACCGAATTATATATCAATTAAAACACTTGAATTATATAATTAAATAGTGATGGAAAATCAATCAACCCAAAATAGATATTAACAGATTTAATCTCTCCTAATCGGTGTGTTTCCTACGACTCATTTTCTGGGGAAAATTGGCGAATGAAGATAAAACTTTATTAATCAATTATATTTCGAGTTATGTCATATTTTGATGTGAATCGATTATCCACATTTCAGACATTTATCCTCCGTAACATCGACGTGAAATCAACATCGGCAATAATTTCTTCTTTTCCCATACGGAGTAATACATGAAACGATATACTGCTTAAGTCTTTGGCTGCTACCCGTGTACCTTGATATTATTAAACGAGATAAATACGTCAGTTTACCCAATAAAGATCGCTCTTTGAGCTAAGCCTCTCTGAAAGTTAATTAATTTTAAGCTCGGAAAGCACAGGTAATTATAAGTATAAATTGTCCTTAAACACTAATCCCCACCGTGATGGATCTCGATGACAATAATGACTTTATCTTTAACGTGCAGAGTTGTTTTAGTGGGGTATTTAAAGGCAAAGCGGATCTGTTACTTCTTAATTGCTCTGAGTAAATTGACAAGTCAACTTAGAAAGGGATCTGATTAGTTATAATGATGTTTAAATTGAGATAATATGAGTATTGAAGTTAATAGGATGACTGCTTGGTAAGATAAAACGACATATAGAATACTAATTAAGTACACCTTTGTCAGGATTATACTGTAATTGGCTTCCACTGTTCCAGGAATTATATCTTAATTTTATCTCCGACAACACAAATCAATCATATACTCAGAATTGTAATTAAGTCTTCACATTTTTAAAGAAGAGGTTCCTTTCGCATTTTGATATCGTTCGTACCAAAAAGTTGAGAACTACATTTCCGATTTTTACAAATATTTTTAGGGGATTATAGAAACCTTCACCCGGTGTTCTGGAGAGCCCGACTAGTCGAGGCGATTGTAGAAATATAAAGGTCGTGGGTTCGAATCCAGTGATGTCCACATGTCCCGTTTTCGAATGTTTTCCCATGTGAAAAGAGCTAACCCGACATAGCAAGCAACATAAATGATGGGAAAAACTAAACTCTTCAATCCAAATTACACCTTTTCACTTTAGATCCACAATGTTGGGTGTTTCTTACAAGAGCTAAAAATTCTTTGCGCCCAGGGTGCTATTTTTATCAGAATACAAGGAACAACCCTCGTATGTCAAGATATAGTTTTCCAAGAAAGTCAAAGATCTATTGATCAATGGTTTACTTTATTTGTATAAATTATTTTAGATCGAGATCCAAAAAGAGCTCATAATTTCCGACATAACACTCTGTGAATAATATCTTATACAAGGCGTGACTTTCCTCAATTTTACAAAAGTGTCAGATCCCAATTTGTGATATAGGCGTTTGCCTTTTCAATAGAGTACACTTATTTCACTCAATTTGAAATCTATTTGTTGATTTAACCCCCATTTCAATTACCAATTTTATAATTCAATTAAACAGATATCCCAGTGCATTGTACACTATCCAGCTATCTAAACAATTATTGGTACTGTATTTTATTGAATAGATCCTATCCGCTACCCACCCTCTACAAAATGAACCCTAATCTTTTTCTCATATACCTTAGAAATATTATTGAAATATTTCCTATAAACTCAGCCTCCACTTGAAACTCAAAGGGCGTGTGATATTCCTTTTATGCTGTGCCTTGTAGTGGTTAATAAGAAACTTTAATAGATTAAACTTGTGAATGGACGCTCTATCCCACCAAATTAAAGCGAATTGACGGAACACATCTGTTTAGAAGGGTTGAGGTCCACGAAGGGCATCATCTCCTTTTGAAAATAAACTGTTATTATAACTTTTAAATCAAGATACAATGGGCTTTAGCGCTAGTGTCACATACTCCCTTCAATAAAAATTCCAACGTTTCCTGATTCAAAATTAAAATAAGGAACACTTGCACCGAAATGAAATATGTCGCAAAACGCAAAACAATACGTTTTACGGTAGTTGATAAATATCAGATGTTTTCATTTTAAATTGCACAAATTATCAAGGAAATTACTCATTTGTAAGGAAAGGCATCAAGGAAAGACAACAGACGTGAATCATGTTTGGTATGTGTGGACAATTACGCCAATATCATAGACAATTCATCAATGCCCAAATGCCAGCCAATTATGCCAAATCACGACTCAGATTGAAAATGTATTTATTTACATTTTATTTGGAGTATTCATATGAGCTACCGTTATTGTAATGAACAGCTATATTTTTGTTATCATTTTTATTACAAATAGAAAACAGTGTAAATAACGCATATTTGCGCCAGAATATGCCCAAGATGATTTATTTTGTGAATCAGATAATAATTTAATCCTCCAGGTTGAAATCAATTTGTTGTAATAAAAATCGGATCAGATATTATTCACTGAAAGTTTAGCTTTTAATGAACCATGCCAGTATCACACCTGTGTACAATGAGACCCCTGTTGCGGACGCTAGACTCAATTTCCTTATAAAAACAGAGGTTTGTTACAAAAATCTGCGCAGAGGTCGAGTGTTTTCTTTATTCACGCTTCATTATGAGTCTTCAATAAAGCTTAATGTACTCTAATATACATTCAATTTCTTCCCATTTTGATTTTATTCGTTCATATAATTATTACAAAGGGTTTATTGGCCGCAAAATTACTTTTTATACTACAGAATGATTTCAAGCTTGAACATACTGCTGTATATGCAGTCAAATGTTCTGTAAATCATGTTCATTTACTTGGGATGTCCGACAGGACGAACGATAGATGGCACTACTGGGTTTCTTGGCAGTTTTCTTAAAACAGTTACCTCACATACTTCAAATGTTAAGTTTTTGCGCTATGAGATAATTAGCGGATTGGTCTCAATTTTACCAGCCTGTGTTTTGCGAACAATATGCCATGCTATACTTTTGTAAATCGTTTTCAATTGAAATGAATGTAGACATTCCAAATGAAAAATATCCAACAATTTCCATATTTGGTCAGATATCTCAACAATAGTAATCAGCCACTCGATTGTTTCTTGTCCGTCTGTCCGTTATCAACGTGATAAAATGATAATTTGTTCATTCATAGTTAAAAATTGCAAGAAATATTTTGGTGAACTAAAGATTGCAAGAGGAGGATTTTGGTGACGAACTACAATATTCAACTATAGTACTATACAATTTTTGTGACACGACTACATACCTCAAATAGTGTACCAACAATAAACAGGACTATTGAATTCAAATATTGTACCAAAACATAAGGACTACATAATTCAACTATTCTACCATAGTATACGTATACGGTTTTCTTGTGACAGTATAACATTGCTCAACAATCGTACCAAATCATTGAGTTTATAGAGGACTACATAATTCTATTATACCAAAGGTTTTCTTTTTTTGTGACAGGACAACATGGTTCGACAATGGTACCAAAACATACAGCTTTTGACAGGACTACAAAATTCAACTATTGTACCAAAGCATACAGGTTTTTGTGACAGGAAACATTGTTCAACAATCGTACTAAAACATACAGCTTTTGATAGGATTACATAGTTCAGCTATTGTACCAAAGTATACAGTTTTTTTGTGACAGGACAACATGGTTCAACAATCGTACAAAAACATACAGTTTTTTGTGTCAAGACTATTTACCACTTGCATTCGTTTGACTTCGCTTCAAGAAGAGAGCTTCGTCTTCATTTATAACTAGACTCTGCACCCAGAGTATCAGCTATTGTGCAAAGGTATACAATTTTTCAGTTTTGTGACAAGACTACATAATTCAACTTTTGTACCAAACATACAGTTTTTGTGACAGAACTAGATAACTCAACTAATGCACCAAAACTTACAGTTTTATATGACGGAACTACATAACTCATCTTTTGTATCCTAGTACAGAGTATATAACAATAACATTTTGCAATGAACTTCTAGATATAGATTCATGACTTATTTAAAGAAATGTCGAAGTTAATAATCGACACCCAGTGCTATATACTAACTCATCATATGTTTTAATGTCTGGCATTTATTCTAAGGAGATTTCGTGTCAATGATTATCAACTGAACGTTACTTGTAATTTATTAATGACTTAAGAAAGGTAATTAGGAAATTAACAACATAAATTAAAGTGATAATCAATTATTTGTAAAGAAGTTTCGCTTATATGATCCGTGCAATGGATCATTCAGGAAACCCTTAATTATCCAATCATGGGAAAAATAAGATTTTCTTCCGTCTCTTAGCAATAAGGGACAACATTTCAGGAATACCAAATAGAAAAACCCCTTCAAAACATATCAACCAGCATTTTGAAACTCTCAACAGATTAAGCTTCTTTAATAGAGAAAATTGATAAATGTACGAGGGTAGCGGAGATGGGTTCGACTTTTGGCTCATTATGTAAACAATTCCCATCCATAAAAGGGACATGATCCCATGGGCACAAACCTACGTTTATATTGATTTGTTTGCATGTAAGACAATAAGATATTTTTAGTTTTTGTTCAGTTGTGTCTAAAATTAATCTTTGGAAGGTGTTCTCACCCTTTCACATACAATAATCGATCATTTATTTATTGAAAGACATTTCGAGATAATTTTATTGAAGCATGCCATAACAAACAATTGCATAATTACTACAAATGACTATGAAAACCATGGTGATATCATAATACCATTTTAGCTAAACCCATGAGCATTCTAATAGAGCGAATTTTCTCAGGGTATATCAGAAGAGACAAGTCACACGTGTGTGTTTATATACTGAAAAAGAAAACCACTGTTCGCCGTATGCAGAGATTGTTACCAATAAATAATTACCGCCCATAATTATTCCTTAGATACTGACTATTTTGCTCAATTATTTATTAAATTAAAAAATCAGCCAATAGTAGTTCTGGGATTGGATCGTTTAGGCAGTGCCTTAGATTCGAATGAGATTATGAGTGGAAGCATTGAACGCATCATTCCCGATATTTAGCGCAATAAACGCCAAGCGATTTAAAGAACACAATACTGCTTAAAGTGATGCCACTTAAATAGTTTTCAAAATTGAAGCAGGGGCCACTTCACAGTTCATGAGTAGGTGATTTAATTTTAGGGTAAGTTGTTTTGTGAATTATATAGTTTCAATAATGGTGATTTTATCACAGTTCTATACAATCGAATGGGATTTTTCTATTTCATTTATGTAAGAGTTCTTCTTGACGTTTATCTTTCATTTCTCTAGTAATTTATGAAATTGCAATTACTTTTTGTTACGTCATATGCTATGTATTTTATCATTTACCATCCATTTTATTATTGTTTACTTATGGGCCTTTTGTAAAAATATTAATTGTTTGCAGATTAAAGGACCATTTCACCCGATAATAATATATCAAGTAAAGTACCGGATTAGACCGAATCATGGCCGATCGTGAACTAGAGGAAATCAAGACAGAACCCGAAGACCTCTCGAAGTCCATAAATCAAGCAAAGAAAAACAAAGATGATATAAACATTGAACACAAAACAGAGAGCGAAGATCAAAAAGTTATGAACTTATCTAAAGATAATAACGGACATAGTTTGAAACGGAAACTAGATAGTGATGATGTAGATCAGATCGGTTCATCGGATAAATCAGCGAAAATCAAATTGAACGACACTCCACAAGAACAAGTGAACAGCCAGTCAAATGACACTAATATTGTAGCCCCGACAGCAACAAAACCTGGTTTTATGATTAGTGATATTTTGAGCGACTTGAAACGCTCAAAAGAAAGAGTTCTCGAATCCAGATCACTTATGTTCAATGCCAAAAGAGACTTCAAATGCAGCATATCCAGTGCATTCACTCCAAAGACGCCAACATTTGCTATGTATGACGATCGACATAGGTCAATGGAGCATGCATTTCGTCCAGCACAATCATTGCAGCTCCCGGGAACATCGCTTTTAGACCAACATATGGACGACATGGACGGCTCTGACCACGGTAAATTAACTTTTATTAGAATAAAGTTCTCCAAATAGCTTCAAAGTCAATTTCTTTTTTTTCTATTTAAATTGTCAGACTTGACATTATAAGCAAATATAGTATTTAATGTTAGGAAACAAATTGTCAAAATGACATTTCTGTAATATGCTATGTCATAATATCTGTCATTTTGGATTTTGATACACGAGGCTTACAGCTTATTACTTTGCGTGCTAATTTGATAATTCAGTTTTTGGTGGACGAGTCAAACAATTTGTTGTGCAACGATAACGTGTCTCTGTCAGTGAGAAACATCAGTGTTTACAATTATGTTGACAAAATGGAAGTCAATTGAGCAGAAAACAACAAAAAACGTGTAGTTTGAAATTAATGAGGGCTGATCGTCGCCAGCGCGTGTCAGTCTATAGAAGTTTCAACGCTTTGTGGCTAGATACTTCTAGTTGTTCGAATACTTGCATGAAAGCTGTTTTTATATTTTGAATCAAAACTGTTTAACTATATACACGTCTAGCACATTTCTCATTTGCTATTCATTCGATGTGGTTTTGCCCAGAACTTAACCCGATTTATATATGGCATTTGGGGTTTAAATTTGCCGAACTCTCCACATGTTGTTATTTTATAAGGTATCAAGAAGATCTGATTTCTTGATAAGGACACATGGTTCTTTTGAAAATCTAAAAAACATCATTTAATTTGGATATAATTAATTATTAATTTGGTCACATGCATGCAATTAAGTGATTTCTCTTTCTGTATGCATTGCCAGTTGACGTAATTTGAAATTAATCAATGACTTCTCAAGTCGTAATTGATAACGACATTTGGCAGACGACAGTGGCATAAATTGGTCGTGTTTTTCGGTGACAAGTACAAGCCACAGAAAGTGGCACAAATAGCGCTTAACTGATCTGTTTGTAGTTTTCTAATCAATCAAGACAAGGCGACCTTAGTGCTGTTGGTTTAGGCTGTTATATCAATAACGATATATTTTTATGACCGCCAAAGGAAAATGTTTCACGAGACTTTCTCCAATTGTATGTGTTTGTATATGTCTTCAAATCAACTGTAAGGTCATCCCAGGTACTTTTAACTTCCAAAGAGGCATTGGTAATGCATCTGAGTTATTCCCATTTTTATTTGGGATATAGTCTATGGATATCTTAAATATTATTCCTTTAGTTTATTTTGATACGCTATTTTGAATGTTGTATTGTACCGTGGTCCTATCGATTGATAAGATTTATCGAAGTCCCATATGAGAATAAAATAATGTCGTACGTCACTTACACTGGCATAATATTTGATATGCTTCCAGATGACGACGATGATGACGATGACACCCACGAAGATGAGAGCGCCATTTCGTCTAGTCCAATAACAACGTTAAAGTCAAAGAAACAAAGGAAAGCCCGAACAGCTTTTACTGATCACCAACTAAATTGTCTAGAGCGAAACTTTGAGAGACAGAAATACTTGAGCGTCCAAGACAGGATGGAGTTAGCATCTCAACTAAATCTTTCTGATACACAAGTCAAGACGTGGTACCAAAACAGAAGGTAGACTAATAACTTTTCATCTTCCAAATAACTGAAAAAGTCCAGGCATCGTGTTGATATCGTCTTAGCAGGACTTCAGAATAAAAGATAATAATTTTATCATCAACAATGAAATCAACTTGTTGAAATTGTTGCGAAACTCATGTATAAAACACAGAGTATAAAAATCCCAACTGATTAAATGATTTCTAACCATGTTTTTCAGGACAAAATGGAAGCGACAGACTGCAGTAGGACTAGAACTTTTAGCAGAGTCAGGCAACTATGCTGCAGTGCAACGAATGCTTCAGACAAACCCATATTGGGCATATCACCCACACGCAGCCGCCATTTTGGCTAACCTCGACGCCATCTATATCCGGCAAAGTATTTCCGGTAACATGCCACCTAGACCACCACTTATTCCAAGAATGTTCCTTCATGGACTTCAACAACAACAACAGCAACAGCCATCAACCATAGCCACTCCAACACCCGTGTACCCATCGGACTCACAAAAGACATAGACTAAACTAACATCAAATAAATAGTTATTTATTATTAAAATTTTCAGTATATAATACAGCGTAAGATGCTTGGAATCGTTGAACCGTAAATCTTAATATACGACACATTTCGATTCAGAAATCCTAATCTTTATTTGAATTCGAAATACTCATAGTTTACGCTGTATTATAGCCTGAAATGATATATACATATACCAAATAGTACTATATGATCACTAACATTGCAATTTCCAAAAATGTGATGCTTGCCTCTTATGTACTGGGCAACTTCCTATTAACAAACATTTCTGCATAGCATTGCTGATTTGTTTACAATATTTGTATATAGTCATTATTGTCAAATGATATTTTGTTTTAAAAATTTGTTTGATGTTATTCAAGTGCTATAATATGAAATAAAATTAATTTAAACTGTACGAAAACGCCATCTTATAGTTATTTATTTTTGACGATCTTGCATAATTGAATCTGCGATTTGTTTCAGTTACTGAAGACAATATTTTGAGCCATTTTACAAAGATGTCTTATTCTCTTATGATTTTTTGAAAACCCATGATTTAATCAAGTATAAACTTAGATAATATACTGTACAACAATAATTACAATCCGAGTTATACAATCATACATGTTATGCATAACATATTAGGATCTGCTAGTTATATTGGTTATTGGCGGGTTGATTTGACCCATGTTTTTTAAAGTTTGCCCTAGCGGTATTTTTCGCATTGTTAGGACAGCACAGTATCACAGTCATCTGTTCTTTCTAATACGCTCATTATTTTTGAGATTGTAATAATTATATAGTTAAGAACAAATGTTTTCATAAAGTTAATTTTTAAATGCCAGGCAGCATCCCATCCCACAAAGGGGTGTAGTAAACCATACTCGGCATAAACTCTCCCAAAGCATATGGCATATGGTGCGTCAAATAAAAACCCAATTGTATTTAATATGTGCTTAATGCTTGTAATTCTATAGGTTTATTAAACTCATGGGAGATAGATTGACATAAATCACAATATATTAATCGCGCTAATCATTATCAAATTCGTTCCTATTGAGAGAGTTTAACACGATAATCGGATAACAATACATGTCAAACAGTAAGACACACAAAACCTACATCCACACATCCACGGTGAAGCCCATATTGGATACTTTTTAAACGAAAAAGTGATACGCTATGATACGTTTTTTGCATGAAACTTAACTGATTATCTGATATATAATAGGCAATTAAATCAGCTATAATCTCATATATCTCAATTTTTCATTGTTAATGAGGAGATTTAAGAAATTATATGGAACACAAATGCCCAATATTTTTGATGCTATATTATATTCAAATTATACACGATGATATTGCGAGAATACAAATACCGAGACAATAATGTTTAATAAGTCATGTAAACTAAAAAGCAAAGCCACATTTATTCAGCGAAGCTCTTGCAGCTAGCTAACACTATTGACACTATTGACCGTACGTTGACAAAACCTCTTTACAGAAATACTAATGCCACCCCCCCCTTAAATGTTATACATTTTTCAGTGCGAAACACACTTTATTATCAATTTGACAATTTTGTGACCCCAAAATCCCATTTAAATATCTCTAAATCAAAAACTCTCAGATTACAACGTTCTGATTAGGATTCGGGTAGCGTATAAGAAACTAGACGGGATAAATGAGGTAATGCCCATGCGAGAAAATGGTTGAAAGTCGTGTTTCACTTGATTAAGCATTCTGACAAATTGTTCGGTAAAACCATCCCTTAATGACAGCTTGTTCCAAGAGATGCTAATTGCTCAAGAGTTCCTCATAATGCAAAGTGATGTTGGATTAATAGAAAAGGTCCATAATTTTCCATGTGACTGCTCGTATCTAGTAATTCACAGCATTAAGAAAGCAAACGAAGTGCCTCGGAGGACCCATTGATTTTGCGCTGCGCAATGTCCACGCTCTCTTAACATTCTGAACTTTCACAGTTCCTTGGTGTACTGTATTATTGTGTTATGATAGGAATAGATGAACACTAAATATAATTTGATGAATAGAAGTCTCAAAAGACGAAGTCTCGGGGCAGTGGACGATGCCCTGGCTCATTTTAATATTTTTTGTATTTACCCCAACACGTATGTCATTTGTGCTTTCATATTCGTTGTTCAGGTGCTAGTTTGAGACTAAAAAAATAAAATATTTTTTTTGTGCCTATATTAAAAAATGCATAGTTTGTCAGCCCTTATATAATAAAAGAAATACAAACCCAGAAGAATGTCTCTGAAGAACAATGTCAAGGAATAAAACGACCAATCAAAACCTCATTCAAATTTCATAAGGACTAGTGGATGATAGAATCAAAACTTCACCGAAAAGGTAAATCATCCCAAATGTTTCTTCAAATTCGGTTTACAAGTTAAATGTCTGGACATTTCTATATTATATCTCTATACGTACTGGTACTGATTTCGGAAAGAGTCAATTGTAATTTCTATGCGGTAGTTTGTTTTGAAAACGTTTGAGGAGAACCACACTATCCACATGGGGTCACCTCATGCATGATATTGTTTCAATTCCAGCAAAGAGGATAATATCATGACTAGAAGGATTAGTAAAGTGGATGCCATCGTCAAACATAATGTGAATAAAGGTGAACAATTACCTTCGCTGTTGACCGTAAAAAAAAGGCGTTAAACTCGGATCCGGGCGCTATATATCCACAGATGACAATACTTTGGAATTGATAATATAAAGGGTTTTATGATTCTTTTTGACATATTGACTCTTAACTTAAAGTAATGGTTTAATTAATACACTATAATCTCTAACATCCAGGGTTAGTTATTATGCATACCTGAAATTTTAATAATCAATTTCAATAAAACATGTAGGATCCAAACCGCCCTCCGATCACTGTCCACTATTCGTTACGACCATTGCTGTACGGCGACCGTACGGCCGTAGCTTCACAAAATCGATACAGAAAATCTACATCATATTGCATTTCCTTTATTTTGTGCTGCACATTTCTCTCTCGAGGGATGCTACGCTCGACATACGGTTACCGTAGATCAAATTTGACCGAGGCATAATACATCGGACCCCATCTGATCTACTACACTCTGGTTAAGGTGAAGTACAATGAGGGGGGAGTGGGGCGGGGTTCAAAGTCTAGACGCAAGACTATAAGACCATCTAATAAGAACAATTTACCTCGATAAGCATGCATGCATAAGAGAGTCCTATTAGTACATTGGCATTTTGATTTTTCATATTTGCACTGTTCTTATCATGTACTTTGATAAAAATATCCAATTATATTTTAAATTCCTAGTCTTAGCATATATAATTTTTCTTTTTTAGTTTCTTATCTATCAATTTTACAAAGATTTTTAGGTGCGATTTTTCAATACATGCTGTCATGATTAAACAAAAAAGGAATCAGAGTTTCATCCAGTAGTCATCTATATGCAAACACTTAGCTATGTAGCTTTGAGCTTCAGTTTACCAACACTGTTTAGAAAAGGAAAATAAACTGAAATTAGGGTATTAAAACGATAGCAGGCTATCAAATGTATCTATTTGGTTAGGAGTTGTATACAATAGTAAAATAGTGTCAAATAGACATAGGGCTATGCGTGCAACTATTTCCTTAAAAAGGTTTAGAAAAAGATGTAGCTTTCAATGCGTTTACAATGAACATCCGCAATACAAAATGCCCACGATGTGCTGAACTGAATGATAAATTATCTAAGAAAAACATTGAAGATTATGGTGTAAATCTTCCACAACAGGCGAATGATATGCATTGGTTAATTTATCTAGTTTTAAAGGCTATTTTCTATTCCCTTACATATCGTAAATGTAGCGAAACATGCATTTATATGAAATGGCAAACATGCGTTACTGTGGAGTCTCCGCTGGAGTCTGACGTATCGCTCGACCACTCCGTCTGATTTAGGGTTATAACCAAATGTTCAATGAGCGACAGTTGTTTATCATTTTGAATATTAACTATGCATGTTCATCCCTAATTTGCCCTTCATTTTATTCATTCCGATGACATAAAGCTACAGCCCTTAGAAAACCGAGGTATGCTTCTCAATCTGATGTGTGATTTTAAACATTAGTATGGGGAACGCATCTGTCAGGGAGAAATTAATCTAAATTTAAATGTTACCGTAGATATAAACCTGAGCATTAACTGTGTCTATACCCTATCGATATCTTAAGTCCATCTTAACACCTATCTTCACCGTCTTTGCAAAACGTATGTTTTCAAAACATTTGTCCATTATTCATCTCTGAACTTTACGCCCCTAGTTAGCGTTGTCCAAATACGCGACACATTTAGCCCATTCACCGCCTTTCTGCAATATCCTTTCGCAATAAACTAGATTAATTTTTTTCAATTATTTTGATTTAGCGTTGTATTATAGATACACACAAAGCAGACAAATATGTTAGGGGTTTCAATAACTCAAAGAAAACATGTGATACAATAAGCCAAGTTATTGCTGTTTATAGACAAATAATCGACTCTTTCAGGCAGTTAACGTTCAGTCAGGTGTTCAACATTTCTATTGTCGTTAACGTTATTCTTTCAGGAGTTAGAAATTTTGATTTTTATGATGTGGTCCATGCGCAGCTTTTTGTAGCCAAAATATCATCTATTTTTCAAATAGGATTAAAGGGATTTTAGCTAAGAATATTTGTAGAAATAACAGAGAAGTGCAACCGCAGTTGGCTTTTTGTTTGACTTTATTATTGCAGTTTTAACAGTGATATACGCACCCACGGGACTTATTCTGTGTAATTATGCCATCAAGAGACTCGTCTTTAATTCCACTAACAAGCTATTGACGGCACTGATACAGCCATCTCAATTCCTTATCCACTTTATTAAGCATTCAAATTAAATGTCAATTCAACTCCCTGTTATCCCTTTATTCTCCAATTTCTTCTGATTAGTCGCACTCGTATTTTCCCATTAAAGCTATAATGGCATAAGTAACACGTCCAGAACAATGCTTAAAAGGGTTTTATGGAAAGGCATTCGGAATGGAAATTGTTGCATTTATTTTACTGGAATGGATCTTTTAATGTCTAAGTGCTAGAGATTGAGTTGTAATTGCCTTCTGTTGGGACGGTTTTAAAGCAATTGCGTCAAGCATACTATGAATACAAATGGCCAAGTATTATCTAACTCGCAAAGTGATTCACTGACTTTTTATTTCCTCCTCCCCCACTCTCCAAAAATATTGAATTTGATAATTTTGTTGTACTTTGTGCATTCTTTGGTATAGAGAATAGTGGCCGCGATGTACAGTGCCATTTTATCGCACTACATTTTTAAAGTTGGATTATAGAACAATATGAAATGTTATGAGCGAGCAAAATTAAACAATAGCTTCATCTTTTAAAATTTGACTGACCACATTGTCCACATACAGAAAAACCTGTGCATATTGAACATTGTTTTGAAGAGAAAAAATGTTCGGTGTTGTTAGCTGTTCACTACAGGGAGCGTCATTAATTAAGACAAGCGTCAGTAGAGTTCTACTGTATTTATAAAATGGTCTCCAAAACAATAATTGATTTGTCTGTTTTGAAATATATCCATACAAGTGGTACTCGTGAAAATAAACTATATAGTATTTTATTGTAAATCATATAGTTTAAACAACGTTAGCGATCTCATATATAAATTAATATTTTATATGGATATCTTATTAATCGTCTGATCATAATATCTCGCAACGCATACACGTAAAAAGAAACCTGTAAAGGGGAACATCTCTAAAAATGGAACACATTTTAGAGGTATTAAAGGTGTTCCACTTTGACAGGTTTTACAGTATATTGGATGGAATTACCTTTTCGTATATTATTCAATCCAGAGTGCCAATAATAAGTATGGATTGAAGAGAACGATAACATATTCTGACACCTCATTTGAAAATATAATACCCAATTTGTATTCCAACCATTTTGGCTGCGGAAAGACCAATACCATTGTAATCTAAAGGGACGGCGGTTTAAGTATGCTAATCCATTATCAGTCGTTACCCATGGTACTATATAAAGAATCAGTCGAATGCATCGACAATTAGATCTTGTATCATCAAAGAAAAATGAAGCTAATAAATATCTAGTGTAAAAGGATAATCATAAGGATGTCTTCATTAATAAAGTGTTTGTAAAGGAGATTTAATCATTCAGAAATTGTGGTATAATGTTGGTTTAGAATGGCATGTTTTGCATATCTGCTGTATCCAGAGGCGCTATTATCTCAATCTGCTATTATATAGCCAGATTTCCCCCTTTCACTAATCCCCGGCAATTGTGCCTATTTTATCCACACGTGTAGACGTGTTGATTAAACTTCATCAGATCGTGCACAGTTTTCTACAGGAAATAGGAAAGCATTGATATCACAAGTTTTCATCAGTTTAAAATTTAATTGAAACAATTTTGGATAAAATGAATTGTCACGTAAACGTCGAAGACTTTGTAGGTTGGGTTCAGTTTGCTTTATATGTTAACATGATCTGATCAGAACCACAGAAAAAGATGAAAAACTATCACGTTTTTTATTTATACCTAATTCGATTCGGAAATGTGCTCAAAGTACTTCTCTTATGATAATTTGATAATTGAATTCAGCCACACTTATGTGTTTTACTTTGAGAGTGCTAAAAAGAACTATTTGGTATATTTGCATAGACAATTGGTTAAAATTCCATTACGGCTAATCTTTTCCAAATGTTGCGAATTCATGGTAAACACATTTTTCATGGCTTTGCAAATATTACGGGCTAAACTTGTTAGAGTTTATCGATAGTAATTAGGGATCTAAGAAATTCTATTATAGGTTTAAATAATATTTTACATTAGTGGTATGTATCTAATAGATTCGTTATCAGAAATTTGTTCTTTTAGCTAGAGCTAGTTTATCTGAGACGGAAGATCTTATAACAAGCTTTTCAAAGTCTCACTTAAATTCCAATTAATCTAAATATTTTCACTTGGAATTCGGAAATTGAATTATTTTTTACTTCGGCGATTACGAGAAAATCCTTTGATACTGTCTTAAACTATTGAAAATAATGAAAATAATGATTGTATAGAAGTGGTAATTGATTTAACTTTGTAATAAAAGACTCAGTAACAGTCTCGATTGAATCAATTATTTCGAGCTAAGTGAATATTTTGGCTATTCTGCCGAGTGTTTTAAGAACACTCAAGTGTTTTCTTAAAATATATCTGAAATCAAAACCCTTGATGAATCGTTAACATTTAAATACTTTTTTTGATATCATAGACAATATTTTTGAAGCCATTTCTTTTTGATATCGCATGCGTCATTGTTTTTTGTGATATTTGTGCGTGGATTACATTGTATCCTTCTTTTAGTTGAAAATATAATTCACTTTTATCAACCGATTAAAAGGATTTACAGGTAAAAATAAACACAAGGCCAATACTATGTCAATACATCGAGAAAATTAGTGATCATTTTAAAAGATTAAAAATTCACTTTTTTTAAAAACAATTACCCGTACAAAAATAAAGCAAGGGGTTGTCACGGTGACAGTTTGAAAAGCCATATCTATATATATTCAAGTTGCGTCTCATCTCTAAAAAAGGTGGAATAATCTGTATGATAAAGATTCATGATCATAGTTGACTGAAAATAGGCATCTTTCAACATTGCATTTGCTAATGTATCATATGAATCAGATTCTATACTAGAGAATGAAATAGAACAATATGGATGAACGTCTAAAGATTGTTCCACATTGTGTGATATTCTTATTGCCCAAAGTGCATCAGTTGGTGCATCAGTCAGTGCAACTACATGTAAATTAGCTGTAAACACACCAAAGACAATACAGTCGGCAACAAGAGTAGAAACGGAGAAACATTTGTCCACATATAAGCAACGTTCACATAGTATTTTGACTTGAAAAATGATGTTCAAGAACACTGTAATACAAGCCAAAACAGATCTAAAATTAGATATGTCAAACAGCCTGAAGACCAAACATGAATTATGCATTCTGATTCTCGTTCACCACATCTTTCTGTCCTCAACTAGAAAATATTCTAGAAAGAAGCTAGTAGAAGGCCATGACTTCTCATGATGTGCATTTTGCGTTGCGGTTACAATTTTACAAAACGATTTGGTCACATCACGACAACCATGCCTTCTGTCTTAAACACCCGACAGTACTGACTCAATAATTGTGACAATCCTCCTTTTTTCTAAGTCGAATTCCAATAAATTCCACAACCCCCAAATCATTTTTTATATAACTGATATATCATCCCTTTCCAGATATTAATATATAAGAGTAATTGTATGGGAAATAAGGGAAAATAAGTCAAGCTTATTCTTTCCTGCCACCTTTAAATAATACCTCTCAGAAATGTTTAAAGATTTGCATTCCGGTCAAGATAATGCTCGTTGAAAAGGAGATATACTAGTGGTTGAGGAAATTAAGCAGATTACAAGCGAGGGGACCGTACGGTATACAACAGATGAAATTAAATGGAGACATTGTAAGCTTTACTCTCCTAGTCTTATAAGATTTAGTGTAGTTTATCATCCTCGCTCAAATGCAAGGTCTTAAGTACATGATTTGTGTAGTAAGGGCCGAGGATGTTTATAAAGCATTACATAACCAAAGAATACAACAAGAAGTAACAATTTGATGTAATGCCTCAGTCATATTTGATCTACGGCAACTATAGCTTCCAGAAATAGAGAGAAATATGCAGCATAAACTATAGGGATAATCAACTAAGATTAAAGTAAGGTGTTGATTTTCTATATCGAATTTATGAAGCTACGACCGCCGTACGGTTGCCGTAGAGCAAATGTACGAATGCGACTTTATATTGGATATGAAGTGCAACTATTTCTATATACATTTTGGTTTTATTGGAAGAGGTTAAAATTTTAAGTAGTCAGAAATCATCTGATGACTCGCCCTTTTATGAACAGTGACAAATTGTGTCCATCAGCGTGCTGCAATATTACAAAAGTCATTTTTAAGTCTACTCATCATTTATTTTATTCAAATACATTTTAGCTTATAATATATACATATTTACAATTGAAACAATCATGAAAAATATGTACAATATAAATGCATGTCAGTTTCTCAAAGACTTTGAGTATTATCATGTACTATATTCGGTGCACTATATTCAACAAACGATATAGACTTGATTCAATATCCTATGACAATTTTGATTTAGAAAGTGTTTAAATCTTATTTATGTTTCCAGACATGATAACACATTTATTCAAATGTGAGTATTACGAAAACCTTGATACAAGATCAGAATAATGTTAACCATGGCCATCGTATGATTTTCATATAGTCTTACTTCAAGACTTTGTATCATCCCCTTTTCAACACAAATGTGGGAATGCGAAGTAAACGGGGGATACAGTCTTGAGGCAAGACTAATTTTTTATACAATAATCTTGATAAGATAGTATTTATTTATTTGAGCTTAGCTCTGTTTAAGTCCTATGTTCTGAATAAAGGCTGCCTAGATGAACAGGTGAAGTTGGAGGTAATGCCACTGATGTACTAGGGGCCGGAAGTGACGTAATTGAAGATGACGCTCCCAATGATGAGGAACTGGAGACAGAGGGAGGTAGTCCATACATTGCAGGGAGCATTGGTCTTGGTCCTCCAACAGCACCTACCGGTGCCGTTGCGCCAACTGCTCCTGCATGATACCGAAAGTAGAGAGCATCCATATTTGCAAGAACCCCGGCAACTTGGGGATGGTATGCCCAGTAGGGATTTGCTTGGAGCATTCGCTGAACTGCAGCATAGTTTCCAGCTTCGGCTAAAAGTTCTAAACCAACCGCCGTTTGTCTCTTCCATTTTGTCCTGCAATTAAAAAAAATCAAATATAGTATGATTGAATAATAGGAAAGTATAGTTTTTAAATTCTCATCTTTTGCTAGGATGTTACATTTTTGCAAACTGAAAAATGCAAGAGCAACACAGGCAATAAGGAAAACTGAAGTGGTCCTATCTTACATAGCCAATAAAACGGAAAATATAAATGTATACTAGCAAAATTTGACCGATAGTATGTATTGAAATAATTACCTTCTGTTTTGGTACCACGTTTTTACTTGTGTGTCGGTTAGACCTAACTTTGTCGCCAACTCCATCCGGTCCTGCACGCTCAGATATTTCTGTCTCTCAAATGTTCTCTCCAGCATGTTTAACTGATGGTCCGTAAATGCTGTCCTTGCCTTTCTGGGTTTCTTGTGCTTGAGACAATGGGAAGCTAATACGTTATCTTTGTCTGAAAATATAAATTACCTTTTTACTTTTCAGGTACCAATTTAATGTTGTCGTTGTATCATAATGTTGAATAAAGTAATGGATTCATGAATTGATGTCTTTATTCTATAAGATGGCAAAGAAATTAATAAGACGAATTATATAGAACTATACAAAGCAGTTTCTGAGTCTAATTAATTGGCGTTTGTATGTTTGCTTGTGCTTTTAATTGTATGTTTCCCGATCAGTATACAGGCATATGAATGTATATAAATGTGCTACTTGTTTTCTTTGTGTCGAGTATGCTTTTCAAGTTGCTTTTACCGCATATTACAACACCAAAAGACTCATATGTAGCATTCAATATGAACAAAATAGCCTTTAATACCCCCTTGTTATTTTTTACTTCATGTAGTAGTTTATGTTATTCTTATAGCACCTGTCTTACTCAATTGTTCTCCAAAGTGTTCTATTAACAATTTTGATTAGTTTCCATTGAGGAGGCTTTATTTTTTAACTTCCCACAATATTTTGGCAAAACGTTTGATATATGAGAGCCATAACATCTCAAAGCTTTTAAAATCTAAATTGGTTCAGCGTTTGTAACTAAAATAGAAAGGAATTGGGATCGTATCTCACGTGTCCTTTTTGTTATTAAATGTTCTGATATGATCTCTTTCATTTCTTCGGGATTCTGCAGATGAAAGCGCATGCCTTGGATGATAAATTAACCTATCACCTCTTTATAGCCAAGCTAAATGATATATACTGCAATATCAATTGAAAATTTAAACGTTATTTAACATTAAATCAACATCAAAAAATAAACAGTTGGTTAAGGAAAATTAGTTTTATTATTCATTAAACTAAATCAAAAACTAAAATATATTGTGACTTGTAATGGGGTATTAAGAGCGCCTCAATGATAATAAATAAACCATATTCTATAAATTAATTGAATAAATTGATCGAACGATTTAATTTGAATTTATTTAAAATATAAATAATGGGATTCAGTGCAACGCTCCAATATATCATATCATAAAAGATAAGTAGCCACAACTACTGAGCAAAACCAATCAAAAAGACAACATTCCTTTGCTGACAAATGAGATGTGACAACGGTCCTTTGACCCAGGAAAAACAGAACAACATAGAATAAAACATTAATGTAAATTCTACAGACATTAACCAAACATCATTGACTCTTTTTTAGTAAAGGTGTTGCATTAAAGACGAATTGTGTTAAAAGCCGTATTATTTTCGCAGCATGGGGTGTTACCACCAGGCCTGATGTGGGCTCTAAATGAAAAACGTTGTGTTGTGGGTATCCTACTGAAAGGATGATCATATATCTTTCTGTCATTTTAGGAGTCGGCCGGCTGAGTTAAATTTTACTTTTTATTATTAAAGTACGCAGAGTCTGGATGCTTACTATTTAAATGAATTTACATTTTATGCAAGATGAATTTGAAAGGATAATTGGGATTCATTTTCGAGAGTGCACATTTGAAGATATAATTAGTTTACCAATAAAGTATAAAATACGCAACCGACATCTCAGTATTCAATTTTAAAAGGTGTATTATAAAAAGTGATCTATAGAGAATAGAATGAAATATTATTATTTCATATTTTATCACCTTAAATTGGCTGTTGAAAATATTGACTGTTCAGTGCTCTGAAAGTCCCCTTAACAATATATATACTTCAACTCTGATCACTATTATATCATATTTCATCACCGTTGATTAGATATTTATTTATTTCAGCGTCGGTCCATGTTAAGATTTACCTCATATATACCACCTATTAAAGTATATACCTCATATATACCTCTTAAGATATACTTCATATATACATCTTAATGCACCTTGTATACCTCAAATATACATCCTAAGGTATACCTCATATACCTCTTAAGGTATACCTCGTATAGTTCGACAATATAAACATTGTAAGTATAATAGACCGTAATCTATTCATGATTCAGTAAAACAGCTATAATACTCAGATTTATCGGTTTTCTCTTAGCAGCTCAACGATCCCAAACGCTGACTCATTAACCAAATGATTATTAAATAATTATAAATGATGACGCCCACTTGATGGAAAAATTATTGCCAATTGTAAAAAATCAAAGAAATAAAATAATTTCATTTTCTAGGTATTGCTGAACTTTTAAGAAGTGAAGTCGAATGAATGTAAAGGGTACAGTATTTTGTACTAGTATAATTATTATTAACTAAACTATTTTTTACCATTATGGGGATCCTCGTCTGCACTGTCATTATCGCCACTTTCGCTGTTTTCCGAGCTTAATGGGCTTTCACAACGTCCGGAGAGTCCGTGCATGAGCCGGGGGTCTAGTTGAAGCCCAAAACCAGGATGACTTGGTGTAATTTTTGGTCTAGTGTCACTCAAAATATCGCTTATCATAAAGCTTGGCCGATGAGGAATATGTATTTGTGGCTGTGGATTCTGAATGTCGACACATTTTCTGCTCTTTTTTAAATTTGAGTCCGTTGTGTCATCCTCCATTTTATTAAATGATTTTTGGTTGATTGGTTCAAATTTGGCATCTATTGAATCGTCGATCGGTGATGATCTGCTATCGTTGCTTGTCGAGCGTACACGAAAAGTACTATCATCCACATCCACTGTCTTTTCGTCCTTTTCAGTCTTGATACTGTTGTCTTTATACATAATATCAAATGATTCTTTTGATGCATCACCATGTAATATGACATTAGAAGCGTCTGACATTGTCATCGTAATTTGCTTTACCGGAATAAGTACTTTTAGGTTTCAATCCTTTTGGTATTTTATGCTGTAGCGAATAAAATACAATGTTTACTCATAGATGTCAAATCTGTGACACTTTGAGCTTCCTCACATTTTTATCTTCAACGCTGGTATTCTTTACACGCGTGTGAGAATTAAATAAAAATGTGGCGGATTAGCTAGGTACCTATTCGCTATTATTTTTCTCTTCTTTACAATGCACGTGTCGAGACCCTAACGCGTCTTTAGTATTAATAGATGTGCGAAGTAAAACACCACTGCGCTTGTCGCATTTATGTAGCTAATAGTCTCACCATCACATTACTACCATGTTTATTACGCTCTTCTAGAGTAAATTAGTAAAGGATATTTATTGGCTGACACAAGCTCCGCCTTCTTATTTATAGACTTATCAAAATCTAATTAACATTAGAATCTCCTAGGGTCATAGGGTCAAGAGATGAGAATGGGAGATAATAGAAAAGTACAATAGAACTGCTTCAAATAAACAAACTTTGTATTAGTCTTTGTATATGTTGAAAGGGAATTTAATAAAGTCAGTGAAAAGAATGAAATAAATAGAATGTTTTTGTTGAATGAAGGGATATATTTCATTGACAAATGGGCTTAAAACTTAGCACCAGATGAGTTCAGATTCTAAAGATTTCAAATACAATTTTTAATGTTTATTTTTTAGTTTGATCTGTTTACTTTAGGTTATTTTTAAAAAAAAGATTTGTATCTTCACGCCACAATTTGTCCATTCAGGCGCAGATTGCTAATGTTTCATATCAGGTCTGTTAAAAACTGAAATTAATAGGCATTGATCGAACAAATGCAGGTGTTAAGAATGGTTTTTTGAAACAATTATTTATTTTTCAACATGATACACCTGTTCAAAGGCTCATCATTTTAATCTGATATACTTTAATTTCCCCTCGATATCACCAATAACACTTTAACAAGCCTTATTGAACTCATCATGGACAACTATTTTATTTATAAGTATTGTCGGGTTCATTAACATATGATTACAGCTTCTTTGTAGTTCAATTTGTGTAAATGTCTTCTTGATAACGACCAAAGCGAGACAGGTTTAGCCGAGAACATCGGTAATAAATAGAGATGCGGCATTACGTGTGACGTTTGTTACATCGATAGAGCGGACACATTTAATTGTCATATTTGTTATTTTCAGAGAAATATGGTTCGTTGATGAAGAATATTAACGTTGGCTGTGCCCACGAAACGGGTCGCAATTCCCCCTTAGGCTAGCTCCGTTGTCAAATGTCGGGGTCTCTCGTGAGTCACAATTGTTTTAAGAACCTACGAGGCCCGATCAGAAAGTAAGTAACCAACTGTTCTCATTTTTTATACTTTATTCAATCACATTGCAATTTTCACAGATGATGCAGAAAATAGTATCCCAATAAACAAGATCAATGACTATGGGTTAGTGGCAATTGCATTGCTAGAGGTGTTGCTATGGTGATGATTGTTTTGGGTAGGTGGGGCATCCTTTTGTAAGCGATTTTGGAAGATGATTTGTAGAGTTTTTCTCTTATATGTTTTTAATTTATCAAAATAGTTTGAGTACTTCACAACGAGGAACTTTAATTTACTAAAGGCCACTAAAACTCAACATATTCCGTTCTATTTACATTCAAATGTTGCTGAATGTGAAATATGGCCAATAGTATAATTGGAAATCATAATTGTGCATCCAAAGTGTCAACCTAAAAATTGTGACATGATAGTGAAAGTAAAAGCAGAGAAACAATGATGATAATTACAGATGCAATATATTCGAGTTAGCAATTTCCTGTTCTTAAGGCAGTTGTCATTGCTGAGCCCTAAATTCAACACATACACTAATTTCTACAATTAGCGATAAGATAACGAAGCTTTTGTAAATTCACATCTATCTTTGTTATCTAGTGAATCTCCCTGGAAGCTTGACATATACTGACGTTAAAGCACTATTTGATAGGTGTGTTGCCACAAAGCATACATAGCGGCACACAAATAAGAGTTATTTTATATCATTTGCTGATATTACCTCCTTTAGGGTTCTCCTGTCAAAATAGAGTGAAACCCAATAATTAGATGGCGCCTTATATCGCCAAGAAACGTGGATTAAGAAATATACTATTTTAGCATAATACGGACTTTAACATTTAAAATGATCTCATTATAAAGTGTTTTGTTGTTGTATTTTTAAAGGCATTTCCCACACCTACATGGACTATTCTTCATTTGTCTTCTAGCTATAGATTGACAGATATGGAAATTGATACCTTTAACAAATGAGAACATTAACGGAGTTTGAGATTTTTCGATTATCTACGTTTGTTCACAAACTCTTAACGTAATTTTTTTGGCCTATTTTGTTTTTTAGTAACACTTTCTGCACATCGTGATATTTTGTATATCATAAATGAGTCGTTTAATGCTTGTTTCAATGCCAGGAAACAGTGAAACAAGCAATCAGATCTCACTTATCTTCAGTGTACAAATACTCCAATCAGAATGCCCGATACATAGAGTTTTTCAAGTCTCAATTTCAATTCTTGAATCTACATTGTTTAAGTATAATATACAAGACCTTTAGGGTCTGTGTGTAAAGCTATATACACCGTGGCAAAACCATACAAAACTAAAAAACATGAATAAACACTAGTAAATGTAAATTAGTCCTGCACTTATTCCCCTTTCTTTGATTGATGCTGTATCCAATTGACTTGAAAACAATAAGTCTACATGTGCTTTGTCATTAGACCTTAAGCAATGTTGTAATTAGTGTTAAATAAAGGTGTCTCCTTTGTTTTAATGCAGTTTGCCATAGGACTAGAATCTGGTTATACGTGTGCATCAATTTAAGAAAAACCCATAAATGCTAAACCTCGACCAAAAGTCCTAATGTGCAAAGTGCTTTATGTAACCAGAGGGGCTCAGTAAAAGCCCCTGTATACCACAAATAATAAAACTGAGCTTTTTACTTTCGACTAAGTCCTTATCAAAATGCAAACAAGAAACACATCTTTGCTCAAAATTATCAGCCGATAAAGTTTATTCAAGTTTTTATTCTATGGATAATTGGCCTTGTGATGATTTTGTTCATAAAAGTTCAAAATATAAATGCTTTCAAACTGAATATACCGTCACATATTTGAAAGAGCCATTATGAAATCAAACATGACATAATGCAACACCACTAGTGACATAATGTAATTGCTACAACTACTAATCGCTTGAATTGTCAATTGAGAAATATATAGAGATTATCTTATATGAGGTTCAGGATATTGGGATTATCCCGAGGCAAATATAATATATTTGCCCGAGGGCCGCAGGTCCCGAGGGAAAATATATTATATTGGCCAAGGGATAATCCAAATATCCTGAACCGACTATAGGATAATATGTTTATCCCATACCAATCTTGGTCATCTGGTTCACATTGTTCAATCCTGGGATTTATTTTTAGAATATTCATATCCAGTTTTGTTTTCTTGACCGTGGGCGGATTTTCCTGTTCTCTCAAATATTCCCACATTTATTTTCTCGAATTTTTTGATTGATTAATTGGATGCCCCTTCCCTTTTTTAAACCATCAAACAGATCCCGATTGTCTGTGTTTTCTCAATTGTATTTTACAGTCATTACGCGAACGTTACAGATTATGAACAAATATGCGAGCGGCGATTATGACGTAGCGGGCAGATATTCTATATCTGCCCGCTCGGAGCGGGACGTAAAGCTATATCTGCCCGCTGATGAAAATATAAGTTTTTACAAACCGGCTTTATGTACCTGTTACACGTCCAAGTATGGGATAAAAAAATGTATCTTGGTATTAAACTTGGTGTAAATTATGATACTACCAAATTGAACGGCCCAACAAGCACATTCCAAAGATCCGAATTGTTATAAGCATTCCATGGAGGTGTCCATTGTGGAGTGTTTTAATTTTTATGATCTGGTAAATGAGTCTAAAATCTGAAAGTACATATGGAGATAACTTATTAATTGTTTTGCTGATTTATTTCATGATTGTGTTCGTGGCCCTAAAAAGTGCTTCCCTTGTCAATCGAGAAAATTATTTTGCATGTCAATATTGTATATTTGTGTCTCCAAATCACCAATTTTGTATTTACCGACGCACACAAAATTGTGTAACACCAACAACCTAAGAAGTATTCATGATAATACGTAGATATATATAATTGAATTATTTTATTTAGTATCATCACACGTAAGCCAAAAATGCAAAATAATTCATGCATGCATCAAGGAAATATTGATTTTAATATCAATTTGATACATGCAGAACTAGAATATAAAAGCGCAAAAGCCAAATGGAAGGGTGACTTAAAACTTAAAAGAAACCCAACAAGAAAAGCAAACTGTAAGTGCAAATCTGTCATAAGAAAAGTAGACCATATATATCCCAAAACCATGATCTAACGTGAAAAGAAACAATGTCTAACATCCCCCTCCCCCTCCAATCGAGAACCGATATCACAATCCAGGACCAGAACACCAAGGGACATTTCATTCATACTGAAGTCATTACAATACATGTTGAAGAAAAATTGGAAAAATTGATAACCAATACTCATAACATCAAAAAATAGTTGTAGATACTAGTACTCATAAAAGATTATATTAGTATTCAGTTTAGACTATTTAGACTTCCTATCAAAATTTATTGTCATAGAATAAATGTTAATATGTTGAATCTCTCAAGTTAGCAGTTTGATTTGGGGTGGTATGTCAAAATAGTGTTTAAACTCTAAGAACACTATAAATTAGATAAAGAAGTTAAAGGTTATTGTTTTGTTCTGTTTTGTGAATTGTTCTATTTTTCACTCTTTGTTAAAACCAATTTTAAAGTAAATGTCTATGAAGTTGATTTGTGGCATCATGTTTTTAATGGTGTATAGTAAAATATTTATATTTTGGTGTAGGGAAACATATTAGAGAGATTTCGCAACTCACTTATAGCATGTTTATTTTTCTCGTATAACTTTATAACTATGAAGCGTTTGATTACGTCATCATTTATTGCGTAGCTCTGTTCGTCGTTTAGGCGACATTTTTAAGAATATCACACTTATGGACTTTTTTTAATAAAAAAACACTTATGGACTATTTTTAAATGATGACGTAATCAAACGCTTTATAAGTTATACGGAAATAATAAACATGCTATAATTGAGTCGCGAAATCTTTCTAATAATTGAGGGTATATACTCATAATAATACATGTTTAATTTGTAATTTCAGATTGTGTCCATTGTTCTTTCTAAATTATATTAGCAGTTGGTTGATATCATGTCACTCTTTCTTGCATATAGAATAGTTTCATATTTAGTTTATTTATTTATTTTATTTTAACATAGTTTATTAAAGTGTCACCTGTGACATATACAATTAAATAGTCATGCGTATTTCTTACATGTATCTTACACATTGCGCGAATTAGACACATCTCCACCCATTTGTTTTATGTGCCGTTTTAAGATTTATATTGTAACAATAGCTTTAATTAATTACCATTAAATTATTAATAATTTGATAAAATGATTTGATATTTACACTTTTCTTCCACTCGATTTTTACATACCGTAGTGAATTTAAGTAGACTACCGAGATGTGTAATCTGAATCGTTCAGCTTCACATCTGATATCTGTTTTCGAAAGGACTTAGATAAATGTTTGTTTTGATGCAAAATGATAATTTAGTTATTCTAATATGTTAATTTATATACTCCATAAACTACGGAGACGCCAATACTTTGATCTCGTCTTTGGTATTTAAACTTTCAAAGGTAGTCCAATATACATATATTATATACATGCGCTCCCAGTCAGAAACGGTATAATTAAGAAAGGATGAGCAAAGGCACCGTTAGAGTAAGAACAATTAAAAATGAATGAAAGGAGAATGGTGTCAAAGTGTATGAATTCTAACACCTTTGATTGCTCATAAGTACAGTGTATTCAGGGCAACGCCGTGAACTCTGTGACGATCTTTCACGGTACCGTATTTTTCCTCTGGCATCAACCACCCTACTAACTCCTATTAGCAATAATAACACAGCTCATAACAACCATTTAGTCGTCGAATTACACTATAATTTCGCAAATAAACATATTTTAGCAACATTTTAATAATGTGTTGATTATTTTAGAGAGAGGTGATTTCAATTATAGGCATATAATAATTGCATATGTTGATTCTGCCGATACCACCACCAGCTGCAGTTGACGACTGCAATGTTTTATGGAATTATTTATGTGTATTGTATTTTAGAAAGCAGTCCTATTTAAACCCGAACATAAGGCAGATCCAACAATATATCATTAAACTAATTAAAATATAAGAGTTTTACATCAAGTTTCTAGTTAGCCAAACGCAAGATCGAGAGGGAAAATCGGAGAAGAGTGGTGGGGACGCGAGGGATTTGTTAAAAGATCATAGAGCACACAAACAATATATGTAGATTCATTACATGACGTACTTGTATTATTTTTACATCTCGTCTTCGACAGTGATCAGTTCCATTCGCCACATGTCGCCATCATGTCATTTTAACAGTTCTGTTTGTTTAAAAGCATAATTTGAAATCAAAGCTTCAACAAGGTGTAGCTTTGAGGGTCTGAATACCATTAGGAGTTATTGTCTGCAGTTATCTCAGCAGGTTGAAACTAATATTTGTATTGGCATCTGCCCACTTTACTCTTAGGGTAACTTCTACCAGCGCGGTGTTATTTTTTACACCGTTTTAAATGTGTAGTGGTTTGTTGCACAAATGGGACAGCATCAAATGGTTATAATTTGATGTGCGTCACATTAGTGTGATATATAAGACGTGTGAAAGCTGAATTTAACATATCGCATAGAATATGCCAGCTACGCTTTAATCTCCAGCATTGTTAACGCCGACCAGAATATATGTGTTTTTTTGGCGCTTTTCGTCATAAACGACAAGGGGAAAAATGAATATTATTTCAAATGTGAAACTTAGAGCGATTTCTTTTTAATTTTGACTGAGATCATCCCAGATAAGATATGATTGATATGGCAAGTTAGAAAAAAGTGAACGTATCTACTTACTGATCAGATTTACGATAAGATAACGAGCCATTTTGATTTCTCACCGTCTTTGATGTCAACTGCCTTAAATAACATAGGTGTCGCTTTCCATTGTCTCAGCTGAGATTTATGACTTGGGTATTGGAGTGTCAAAATGAACGTTGGATCCCTTTTCATGTCTATTTGCACAGACTTTGAAATATATTTGAAGTTAATCGACTTGAAACACATATCAGATTTAATGTGTTTTATGGTCAATTCTAAAAATATGCCTTTTGGTGATGCAATGTTAACGTAGATATATTTTAGAAATAATGTCGTAAATGTAATATGAGGATTCATTTCATTATGAAATGTTAAATAAAATTTGTAGTCACAATTGCGAAATTCCAGAATTTCTGTGTATGTTTGCTAATATCAAACCTTAGATTTAGTTTCATTTAACTATTCTTATCTCCTAGAATTTCAAATCTCTTCAAAGTCCCTCAAAAATTGTTTTCAATTTATCTGTGTTTTACAAACTATATAACACCTCACATTAAAGTATCTGTGAAATCAAAAACGATGGTTTTCAAATTTGGAACTGATGTATGGTGTTAGAACGCATAGAATACTTTCACTTTTACAATGTGGTTGAATGTTGAAACGCCTCTGCAGACGGACCGATCTTATCTACTCGCCGTGATCATTACCTCCCATTGAAATGTGCCCAGCCGTAGTAAAGTCAAACGATCATTTTAAATATCATAGATATATTTTTCTAAACTTTATTTGTTAAACTAAGAATAATATGTATCATTTAACAGAGTAATTATCACTCTCAAAATGCATATTTTTGGTATCAGATGAAACTGATAAAGTCCAGGATCAAAGATGTAAATATAGCGAGGTGTGAATTCAGGCATTTTACAAATTTGTTTTACTGACTTATAGATAACCTTCGTATTAAGTGTCAAGTCCCTATATTCCAGGGATCGCTTATAGACTCATTGTTACATACTCTATTTTAAAACCAGTCGATGTAGATTCCAAAATGATGAAATTAGGCAACATATAAGCAATGAATATATTCGGCAGCTGGACTTGTTAAAATCTGCGTAATCTAAACTATCAATCAATCATCTTTGAAATTAATTGATATTTCAAATGATAATCGTATTAGTAGATTAATTTCATTAAGATCCAGATTGAGATAACCACTTGGTCTATTTTTTAAGATGCATTCTCTTGAAAGCAATCGAAGAAGTTTATTATTTAAAAGTGGACCATTTTCTCATTATAATTAAGATCGGATCTTAATAGAATACTGGTTCAAAGAGACTGTTTTACAGATTAATGGTAACAAAGAATGTCTGAGGCTGTAAAACGATAATTATAGATTATATGATAAACCACCGGAATAAAAGGGCCTAAAAGAAAAATGAACTAAGGTCACGGTTAAGTTCACGAGGGGTTAAAACCAATGGAGCATGGCGTATGAATATAAATAAGATCATAGGTGTGTTGGTTTGCCAACCATATAATTAACAATAATCGTGACTACTCGTATCTGGAATGAGCATTTAACATATATTTCCTACCCAGAGATACGATAAACTGATATTGCACCCAGAGTCTGCTGGGGGAGGAGGGGGGGGGGGTGTCATTATCCTAAATGTTAGCTTTTTGACATCGTTCCCGGGAATTTTATATGAACAAATTTTGACGGATGCAAATTCAGGATTTTACAGTGAGGTACACAAAAGAAATAATCTTAAATGCTGATGATACAGTACTAAAATACAGATTGATATAATCATAAAAAATCGATTGCATTCCATATTACGTTGTTTGTGACTTAAAGCAATGACTCATATCAGCATTTCTCAAACACATTTACGAGGGGAAAGGGAGGGGGTCACAGATAAAACCGTTCAAATACAGTTAGTAATCCTACATTGAACCTTTGAGATGCTCCCCACCACAAGTTATTCATGTAAACATATGAATTGGTAACAATACATTGAACTTTTTATATGTCAAAACTAATAAACCATATATTTGTGAGAAAGAACACATCTAATTAAAGGGACCCGAACTGGGAAAATAGAAATGCACCAGATCATTTTTTCTCATTTATGTTTTTTAAGTTCAAATAGAGTCGATCGTGTTATATTGGAGATAACATCATATAATGAAATGGCATAAGTAGTTTCTTTCACTTTCTTTGATGAAATCTGATATTTGACATGCCCGTCAGTGTAAGGACCCTGAGGGATGGTTGTTAGACGGTGCTATGGGCAGAGTCTCTACCCACTTACAAAAACGTCATCTATTCAAAGCCCGTCTAGTTTAGCCCCAGTGATATTTGCGGCTCCGATAACGCACATTCATTATTCTCATGACATTTGTAGCCTGTGCTAAGGTGATGATCACTTATACGAGAATGGGCGACGGGTACCATTTTCACCCTCGCTGATTCGATAAGATCTGAGAACAGTCGTATTTTAAAAGTTGTGTGCTTTGTAAATTTACAGCATTTTGTGTGAACACGAGACACGATACGTAGGCCGGGAACTGACAAACAATTCTCGGAATTAGAATATAGAATTCATTGTTGAGTGTTTGAAGTACATTATGGCGACGCAGCGTCAGGGTGAAATCAATAGACCATCTTTTCTAATAAAAGACATTTTATTTGGGAACGTTGGAAAAGATGTGTCGGGCGATACAGATACTGATGAGAAAAACATTGAACATCACATATCGGAGGAAAAACCTGCAAAGCTAGCAGCCGATACGACGGAATTAGAGAAATGCCAAGGTAATAAACTCGGGTGCCGTTTTGGTATTTTATAACACCATTGTCCAATCTTTCTAAAATATATTTTCATTTTCATGAAACATAATTGTATTTTGGATAATATCAATATGTCAATACGGTCTTAACTCTTATTCTATGAACTGATAATTGTGTATTTGATGAAATGCACAATTGTTCTTGACGGATCCAAAATAAATCGTTGCTCACTAAAAAAAACAAAAACTTATTATTGATCCGACAATATTTGAATGGATTTCATCTAACGTAGTATTAGCATCAATTAACATGCTGTAAATCAATACATATCATTGATACATATAATGGAAGATAATTCATATCACAGCTTTAAAACTTTTAGCATTATATTATTAAACCGATAAAGAGTTATTATGATTGTGTTAGATGTTATCATGACTGTGATACAATGTTATCATGGTTGTGATACAATGTTATCATGACTGTGATACAATGTTATCATGATTGTGACACAATGTTATCATGACTGTGATACAATGTTATCATGATTGTGATACAATGTTATCATGATTGTGATACAATGTTATCATGATTGTGGTACAGTGTTATCATGCCTGTGATACAATGTTATCATGACGGTGATACAATGTTATCATGATTGTGATACAATGTTACCATGGCTGCGATACAATGTTAATATGATTGTGATACAATGTTATCATGATTGTGATACAATGTTATCATGATTGCTAAAATATCATGTATTCTTAATATACAGGTGGAGGGAATGCTAGACTCGATAAACAGTATTCAAGTAGGCCAAGAAAAACGAGAAAAGCCAGGACAGCTTTCACGGACAGTCAGCTGAATGCCTTGGAGAGACATTTTGAGAGACAAAAGTATCTCAGTGTACAAGATAGGCAAGAAATGGCAAAACGACTAAAACTGTCTGATACACAAGTGAAGACATGGTACCAAAACAGGAGGTATGTACATTGTATATTGTATCACGACCTCATGTATAGACAATTTTTTTAATTCCAAACTAAATTGAATGGAAATAACTATCATACGCTGTTTGGTACCTTGAGAATTCTGAAACTCATCACACCTTTCCATTTTACAACTTGAAAAATGAACTATAGTAGGAGGCCCTGATTTCTCATGATTTACTTTTAGCGTTGAATCAAAATGATAAGTAAAAATTGATTTATGATGTTATGAGTATAACTTTTCAATTTTGTATCAATTTGTATTTTTTCTTTGTCATAATGGCTTCTGCATGATTGAAATGTCTTTGGTTTTATGGTCCTGGATGGTGATAATGTTACTTAAATGATGTGGGAGAGTGTACTATAAGAGTACATCGTTTCTTTTCACGTTGGGTTATGTCTTGAGAAAGATGGGGTTTGTTTTCCATATGGATGTTTTCTTTTTTTTGCTGGGTTAATTCTTAAACAATCCTTGATCTTTTCCCAACTTTGGCACTCGTGCGTGCATATTCATATGAGTTGTTCGGATGAAATATTTAGAAATCCTTTCAAAACGAGCCTAAAACTATGTTCTATATTCTTTATTAAGGCTTTCACATTATTACACAAGAATTCAAAATTGAAACAAATATTATACATACTGTTGATAAGAACTCCGAGGGTTGACTTCAAACTTGTAGATTTGAGTTTTCTTGCCCTGAAATGAAGTAATGAAATCAAGAACCGATGATAAAATTAAATTAATTAACATAGAAATGGCAATAACATTTTCTTATAACGTCGAATTTCTTTTCAGAACAAAATGGAAACGACAAACAGCAGTTGGCTTAGAATTATTGGCCGAATCTGGGAACTTACTGTCGCTAGAACGTTTTATGGGACGACCTTCGGCGTACACATGCGACCCAATGGCCCAACATGCATATGCAGCAGCAATGCTTGGGTCTCCGGGATATATCACTAGCTGCCCCGCTTCGTGCCCGACAGGTAGCGCTGCAGGTTGCTGTACAAACGTTAGCCTTTGCTCACAAGCCCCTGCTATAGCTCCCATTGGACAATTAAGCCACGTGACGTCTGCTTATGGATGCATAGCACCAGCTGTCTTAAGACATCCGATGACAAATTCAATTTATAAACTACCGACTTAAAACTGACTTATATTATGTACAGTTCTGTACCATTAGGTATTTATTTATTGCTACACTATGGTAATATTGTAAAAATCATTATACCATTTAAATTGACTATATTGTGATTTATCCAACGATTATTGTTTTATCCGTACAATAACAGCCAGTAATATTTTTGATAGTATGGAGATCTATTTGATATTTTTCAGAAAAGCATCTATCAGCCGCATATGTGACTGATATTGTTTGTCATCCGCATCCGTATGATGCATGACATTGAATTTTTGATTTTGGGATAAACTCAATATATATCAGATGATTTTTCGTGATACCATTTTATTGCCTCGTTAATATCAAATATCAGTACTCATTCGCATTGATATTTGGCATTAACTTGTCGATGAAAATGTTATCGCTCAAAATGATCTGATATTATGTATATATCAAAGAAGGCCAACACTTGTAATGTACACATATCATTTTTATGCATCGATGAGTTGATTTCGTAAAAATGTAAATAAAAAATGAGGGTGTTATATAAAGTTTATATACCTTTTTAAATTTGGATAGCCGTCTCTCTATTGTAAGAAGTGATTTTTCCTTCAAATAACTATGACTTGATGAGCGAAAATAATTAAAATTGAGAGATTATTCAAAAACAACTTCCCACTGCTGTATTTTATCTAAAAATAAACATGTGAACAATAAATATAAAGAAAATCACAAAATAATGATTAACATCATAGTGTCAAATTTTTAGTGTTTTAACAAACCGACTAAGGGTATATACATATAATATATTTTATATTTGAATTTATTGTCATATGTAATATATTTTGCATGAATGAAATATATATATAGACACTATGATAAATGATTCATAGAATTTTGTTAAATGTCTTTGTGTGGTAATATAATAATCTTTGACATTTGAGAGCATCATTTACTCATTATGCTGCTTTTATGATATAGTTTAGCTCCCAGGCATTTTCATTCTGAACATACCCAGTGCCTTACAATTGCCTTGGATCTAGCCTAGGACAAACCTAATGGCATTAGTTTCATTTTATATATTTAACGCCGAACAATAGCCTTGATGAATACTTTTTCAATGATTTATTGAATTGTTCACTCTTTTGTTAAACAGCCCATTAATGTTTCTTACTGATAAAACAATAAACCCTTCTTCAATAGGAAAGTGATCATGCGTAAAATATTTCATAACCTTTAATAATTATCCGGTATTCGCTATTTATAAGTAGTTGATCACCTGGTTTTCCGAGATTATTCCAGAGTCTTCGTACAGTGTTCACATAGATATGAACCGGACTTTCTACATCGATGATATTCTAAGGAAACATCAAGAATCTACTGTTCACTCGACTACAACGAGCTGTGATTCACAAGGTGAGGTTTATAATTTCAATGTAATTTTTGTTTATTTGTGAAATAAGAGCGTGTGTGTTTCACTTATTACTTATAAACATACAATGTAAAAGTCATTACAATATTTGCCAAGCCTCGAGCGGAAATTGGCAAAGTATACTAGTTTTAACAGCGATTGGTTTTGTATTTGAATTAAAGATGTCGTATATGAACGGTGTATTTATAAAATCCCTTTCATATTTTTTGAAGTGTATTTTCATTTTCAATATGATTAATTCGTTGCCGATTTTGATTTCACTTGCAGTGCATGGTGTAAATCATAAAGTATAGACTCTCTATCCATGATCATTAAATATTATTTATATTTTATGCTAACCAGGGAAACGTACGTGATTTCCGGCCGATTTACCATTTTGGTTGTTTTTATCATTGGACCTTTAATTTCTAAACGTGACACACTTCTTTTATTTAATACACGTTTGATGTTGTTATCATTTTCCTCAAATAGATGGCATGCAAAGATATTACCCATCAGAATATCAAATTGTTTGCATCAACGTCCTGTGCGTGATCGTGCAGAAACGAATCTAAGGGAATAAGTTCAGACTTCTCTTGTACTTACTTGTTGATATACGGAGAACAATTGAGAGTGGAACAGTTATCCCCGACCCCGTAGGCTATAATATTACTGTGTTCCCGTGCAGGTTTTCTTGAAAACATGTAGTTTAATCTCCCTATTCAAGTGTTAAATTGTATGATTGTCTCCTCTCTCTAATTATTCAAGAGGTTAAAATAAATGGAGTGGCCTGCAATACTTTTTAAACCTGCTCCCCTTAGTAATTAAAATCTCTCTCTCATATTAGGCAAGACAAATGAGTTCGCCACTTCACCGGTATTACATAACAACGATCACTCTGAAACAAAACCTAGTTTGGAAAAGAAGGAGAGGCGGAAGAGAACATCCTTCACTCAACTACAGCTGCAATGTCTCGAACGTAAATTCCACTGCCAGAAATATTTGACTGTGTCGGATCGATCTGAGGTCTCGGAAAAATTATCTCTGAGCGAGACCCAGGTGAAAACTTGGTATCAAAATAGAAGGTAGTTAGTATAAACTCTTGGTTATCCCATATTTCAGAATAAGATAATGTCACAAGGGGCGCTAAATTGGGTTTCAAGATATTCAAATACGAGATCCTTATATTTCTTTAAATGTCAAACCATGTGAAATGTATTCAATCTAATGTGTCTTAGCATTAACGTATATTATCTTGTTATTTTCAAATTCCGAAGAACAAAGTGGAAGCGGCAAACAACGCCTCAAACTCGAGCTGAAGAACTCAGAAACCACGTTTGCGATGACGAGAGATGCCCAGCTGTCCGGAGAATGGTGACCTACCCTAGACATTTCTGCCAGAGATGTACTGTTCTCACAGAAGCGGATATCAGGCGGGATAGGAGCATTTCACAACTGGAGAAGTTTTACGCCAGGCACCTGAATGTTTGAGTCCAAATGAAAGTACCCATGAATCTCCCTAATGATACATTCTTGGACATGTATGCACGTCCGAAATTGAGTGACCATTATAATGGATTTGAAACCGTTATGCGACAAATTTCAGAAAATGTGTCTTAGACGAGTGTAGTCGTCCTCGAGTTTCTCAATTTTACCTTTTGGCGAGATTTATCGTCAAGCTCAAGCCCCGTACGAGACATTACACAACAAATAGAAGTACAAATGATAAAAGAGCTTTAGGTGCATGAGCTCTGGCATCACTCGTTAGAAAACTCTAAGAAACAGTCCAGATGAAGTACCACTCTACAACCTACAAGTCTTATGGGTCACTCATAGTCCAGTTCTGAAGTGGACTAATTAGTCTAACTGTCTATTTTTGTCAAATCAAGTGGATTAAAAAGTAAAACATAAAACCTTTGTACGTCTGATCTAAACTATTGTACTCTGGTTACACTACATGTAAAATTAATTATCTTCATATCTTTTGACCAGGGACTTAAATGACAAATTGTTGACTTGTTTTTTGTAAAAATCCTTAATCTTCTCACTAAGCTAAAAGTGAATAATAAGGTTATTCTTATCTGTGTCTAGACTAAAATTGACAACACATTATACTGATGTTTTCGACGTTCAAATTTCAAGGCTCTAATCCACTTCAAATGTTATCTACTAAAATTATCATCCAATAATTCTCAGAACATATGTCTGCAAATGTATCAACATATTTTCAAGTCTGAAAAAATGTTTACTACAAATGTCCGTGATTGATCGATACATTTGACTTATGTCATGTATACATGTATAGTCTGATCTTTCAGATATGTGCAGCAGTCAATAACCTTGTGTTGCATTAACATAAAAATATTAAAACTCACTGTAGCAAAATCACGTTTTTATTTGCCCTCTGGCATTTTATATCTGAATAAATAATAACAAAAACACAGTATATAAAATAGCTTACGTTTGTTAAAATTAATTATTTCTGTCGAATGGAAAATTTCAATTTGCTTACATCTGATCATTGGAGTTGATTAAGAAATGGGAGAGGGGGAGAAAATAGGGTATGGGTGAATAAATGATGGGGTATGGGTAAATAAAGATATCTACAATACTGACTACATTTTGACCATAAATGCAACAGATCTTATTAATGTATTTTTTTGAAGTAGAGTAATCAGGATGCGAAAAACTCTCTCTGTGTAACCATCCTCTCCTCGTTAATCGTTATCAAATTTTTGCCATCGAGGAAACTTATATCATGTCCATTGTTTTCAGCCTAATTTTGGTCACTAAAATTGTATAGCTACCAAATAACACTTTCGAAATCATTCGTCATCCAAAGAATACAAGGTTTCCCGAAAATATTGGGGCCACCCCTAGGTAGACATATAACCACACTCTTAAAAATTATTACTTGGATTTCCTTATATTGAGAAATTGTCCTACTCATTTTAAGTCAAAAATTACTTAAATAATCTTGAACTACTGAATAATTTTTAAGTAATTTTTAAGTAATTCATTTATGGTGAATTTACTAATGCAAGGAGAGAAATTGAAATACTTACTGTAGTAATTGTAATACTCATTTACATAATTAAGCAATTAAAAAACTCAAAATGACAATATAAGTTAAACCTAAGTAAGATGAAGTAGAACTCAGTATTTAACTTTAAGTAATTTTTATACTTGGAAAATACTTGGGAAATACTCAAGTAATTCATTTTTAAGAGTGCAATGTCTCCATGGTATGTGTCATACACCATTTTAAGGCTTATCCAAAGTTACGAACATTGATTTGCCAAGTATCATGGTTCAACTCACAAATGGTAAAAAGTTATAGGCATTTCAAAACTTAGTGTTTGACAAAATTATAGTTCATTTCAGTATCCTGGAAACAGCCCTGGCCCGAATGTGACCTAAAATTTGGGTGCTCTTGTGGAAGATAGGATGGATATTGTCTTCTAAAAAGAGAACGTTGGGGTATATACTCCAAGGGAACTCTTCTCAAATGCCTTAAAAAGGTTTTATAAGGATTACAAAATGCCACATCCAAATTTGAAGGTCATATAATGGTGAGCATTGCTGCAGTTAACATGGCCTAGGGGAGATAAATCGACTATAATTATTTTGGTGTAAAACAGACTTTAATGTTAATGGCCCAACACTAAATTGTGAAATGCCTGTAACTTTTTTCCCCATTTGAGAGTTGAACCATGATATTTGGCAAATCAATGTAACTTTGGATGAGCTCTAAAATGAAACTTACTATGGGGAAATGTCTAGGGGGAGGGGGCATACTTTCGGGACACCTGTATATAAACGAGAAAAAACCATCAAATCGATCAATGTGTTGATTCAGGGTCCTGGCCCATCCATCCCTTTCCAGAGTCGGGTTGATAATCTTATCATTCAGGGGATTTTACCTGGAGAAGGAAAAGATTTTGATAAGACATGCATGTTGATGGTTCGAAAATACCCATAGTCGTGGGTAAGATATGACTATCTGAACCATACCAAACCGTCCAAACCATATCTTGTTCTGTCATCTCGATTGATAGTAATTGGCAGAATTGAGATCATATCAAATTCTTAAGGAAATATTTTTTAAACCACTAACATGCAGTTCTCGCCTAAGATCTTAATATTTGCTAGATCTTTAAAACATAATCTCGATGAAGCAATTTGGTCAGTAGATAACTACCATTTGCTTTCAACACTCGATTCTGCGCATCTGGTAGGTAGCCATTAGGTTTCAAGTCAGAAACATTGGATTTGGTATTTGAAGTTATACATAAAGATGGCATTATGAGCATGTTTTGTAAAAATGGTTAAGAGAGTAGATAGGCAGAGTAGTTCTAATCAATTATTTATAAATCTGACCAATCAACTGAACATTTTACGTTAGGCTTGAATATAATGTACTGCGAGACTATGTGACAAGAAGTAGACTCGCTCTTCATCTAAATGTAATGAGTATAGTACCACTCATTCTTAGAAGAAAAGTTTCCCTAGCCCTTGGCAACGGCAATAGCACATCCGTTTTTTATTTGAGTGTTTTACTGTACATGTTTTGAACATGGGATAGTTGGTCTTATTTTTCATATTTGGAAAACCATGATACCTACAAATACTATTAACCTTATTTGTGAGACTTTTTTATTTGTTTCATTATTTTCAAACTCCACTTAGGTACAGTAGCAACACAATAGAATGAACCGTAGTTTATTTTAATGAATTAACAGTTGTATCAAAAGAAGTGTACATTCTTTTACTATTATTTTTAAAGAATGGACACTTGGCAAGCTATCAAAAACCAGTGTCGCACAAAAAAAAAACATTTGACAGTTTGGTAGTTTCCATCATTTAAAAACAATATACAAATTTATATTTACTCTTCTTTTGTTACTAGACAAATCAATTTCGACTATACATTCTTTGAAATAGAAAAATTATATATAACAATAAATTGATTTGTGTTCCCACCTAATATTCAGGCCCCCTAGACTTCCGCGGTTCTAGCTATCAAGGCCTAGGTATATTCCCTTGAAAATATTCGACCGTGCGATTTGCACTGTGGGGCCTTTTGATGTTTTCGTGATACCTGCGGGAAAGGCTCATTAAGTGCAAATAGACTTCCAACAACGCGAACATCAGTTCTGAGGTCGCGAACTACGTCCCTTGCACTCGAACCACGATTCTAACGTCTCGACGAGAACTCTTTAGCCGCGCACCACCATTTCCTCGGTTCCGAACATATTTCTCCACTCGCGAACAGAGATCTGTGCTCGCGAACAATTTGTACATAGTGCGTCCGGGTATTTGGGATTCCCCATTGCAAGCAACAACTGGAGTCTGGTTGCAGTTTACATTGGCCATTACACATGTATACACGTATATTTCAATAGAGTCATAAACTCTCCACAGCCAATTAAAAGCCATGTTTTTGTTTTTGTTTTATTAAATATGTATTCATCTCAATAGTATGAAATATTAGTATGATATTATTCAAGTATATGGCAGTTGTATATTTCGTAACAAAAATGCTTAAGAAGTGTAACAGAACTATTTTCATTTGCTTCTCCAATGATAATATAATTTGGCAAGTGCAACATATGAAAATGCAAAATGCTGGTTCATATACAATATGAACATGGCATCACTCACATTATCAAGTAAGCATTTTTTATCAGCAGGAATTTCCTTCTAGCATAGAACATGCTGTAATCAAAAACTGTTATTCAGAAGAGCTTTCATATTGTCATACACCGCATTCTCTTATACGTCCTAGCACCGGAGGTTTACGACGTTACAAGTATTTTCGGTGGGAGATTTGTAAGTACTCATTTATTTCGACGTTTTGACAGAATATGGTTCTTTCCTTTACGCAGACACATTGGCCATAGCATGCAGATATACCTCTAGTATCACTGCGTCTCGTTTCATTTCGTCTGAACACGGTCTAGAACCTCTCAAACATTCTAGAAAGCACGGTATTGTTTTGAAAAGAATGATCATTTTCACAAAAATCGTTGATAGTTTCTATAATTCTACCCTTATCATCTTGAAATATTGAAAATATTAACAATACAATTTGTAAACATCATCCAGACACATGGTCTAGAACTTTTCAAATCTTTTTAGAAACCACGACAATTTATTGAAAAAGAACCACCATTTTTCACGAAATCATCATAGTTTCTACAATTTAAGCCCTATCATCTTGAAATATTGATAAGAATAACAATACAACTTTTACATATATCATCCAGACATTTCAGTTTCCCAAATCAATGAAAAAATTCCGAGAAATTAATTTTTCTTTGAAAGCATACGACGTGAAAGAGGTACACATTTCATTGTAGATATTTAATTTCCTGAACGTCGAGACGAAGAAATACTAGATGCATATCTGCAAGGTATGGTCAGTGTTTCTATGAAAGGGAAAGGACCATATAATGTCAAATCGTCGAAATAAATGAATACTTCCGCGGAAAATACTGGGTATAACGTCATAAACTTCCGGTGCTACGACGTACTTGTATAAGAGAATGGGGTGTGATTGTATACGACGTCGTCATACACACCTAATTGGGATATGATCCTTGGATTATACTCACACAGTGTAGCATTTTTGCGACATGTTAATGGGTTTGTTGAGATTATATAATTGTTATAGGTTACTTCGATCTATTCTAGACACCATTTGCATTTTGCTTTTGTGTGTCGGTCACTCAGTCTACCCGCCTCATGTACTCATAACTACCTTTAAATTATTGAACATTGACATACATGTACATGCAGTATTTTGTAATTTTTACGAGTGTCTGTCTGATCTGTATGTTGGTCCTCACGTTCCACACCAGAACGAACCCACATATCTAAAAGGTAATCCCGTCTGAGTTTATCAACCGTTATCAATACATTACGTGACTGAGATAAAAGTATTTAATAGAGAAGAAAGGTAATCGGCACCTGTGTCATTTAGCCAAAATGCTGAGGGTAGCAATAGTCTGGTTAGCAGCTTTGTGCTGCCTAGTAGTTGCCGATCATCATTCGAGATCTACATGCAACTGTAACTTAGCAAGTGATCGAAGCAAGGGTAACCCAGCCGTACTTGATCAGAATCTAAGCCAGCAAGATGTGGCGATTTCAAGGTAGGGGTTTATTGAGTAATCGTTTGAAGTAATGGTAAATAATCGCTAGATGTCAAATATATGTTTAAGAAAAGATATCCACACACTAGGTTGATTCCGAATGAAATTACTTTCCTAATTCATCTCACTAGTTGTCTTTGGGTCGTTTCCTCAACTTTATCTTGCATTTTAATTGTCTCTATATGATTTCACATAATTGTCTACTAATTTTATAAATTCCCCGCTTGTTGTTACACCCAAACAAAGATCTCAATTCAGAATATTTTGCCCAAATGTTTTATATTAAAACTAAACATTAACTAAGTATAAATGAACTTTTATTATAGCTTGGAAGCAAGATACAGAGCAGTTATAGAGCAATATGAAGAAAGTTTACAAAGACTATCAAAGGCGAAAAGTGTAACCGAGCAACTTGCCGATGATGTCAACAGATTCTCCCGTATGTATAAACTTCTACTTAGAACAAAAATAATTCAAATAGAAATAATTTTAAGAATTAGTTCGTTGTGTCATCAAAGAAAGAACCGAATATACAATATGGAAATGGATTAATATGAAGTATAATAATATAACTTTAATCTTTATGAATTGAATGTATATCAATTCATTTTAAAAACAAAACTACCAATAACTGTTTTTATGGTTCCTTGCAGCAAGCCCATGCAATCGAGAGGCTGGTGAGGTCCGATGCTTGAGCTCTGGCGAATGCATCAGTTCGTTGTTGGTAAGCACGTTTAGTAAAGCTTTTTTGATGTCTGGAAAATGAAACTCACTTTTAAGAGCCCATTGTCTTAAAAGCATGCGTTAAACCCTGCCTGTTTCTCGAGTATTATGAGCAGTGAATATCTTTCTGACCAATATGTAACTTAGTTACAAGTAAATTCAAGAAACTATAAAACATCATAAATATAGCATATAAAATGCGGGCTTCAAGTTATTATAAAATAAAAGGGCAGTGAAGAATGTTATACCCGAAATATGAACTATTTGTATTGTTTTAGGTTGCTGATGGAGTTGAAGATTGCCTTGACGGTACAGATGAATCTGAAGAAGTTACTAGTAAGGACAACTTTACAATTATAAATGCAACATAAAATCCCAATTCAAATCAAAACAACTGTGCTAATATTGACCCTTCATTGTTTTTTGAACATGCAGGCTTTAAATCCATAGACAATATTAGGATGATTTTTGTATTTTTGTTTACAATTGAGGTGACCAAAGTCTCTCGGGTAGATTGAATAGTAGAGCATACCCTATACATAATTGATGTGCATTCACGAGTAGACAAGTATGCACCACAGCTTTTCAATGCACCACTCAGTCCTATCCCTTTCTTTACAAATGCACTACAAAGTTTTCATCAGAAATAGATCTGGAGCCGGTTTCTCAGTTGGACTTCCTACCACTGACGAAACCGGAAGAGCTATAGTGCGCATTTCTCTCATGCATCCGATACATTTTATGCATTAAATAAGTACTTCTAATGTAATTTTTCAGAGGTTCCATTCAAAGTCGGAGATTCATTCACCGGTGAATTACTCGCTGGTCACAACTGTTTTGAAGAGGGCTATCCAAGTACTGTAAAGGCATACATAAGAAGAATTACGTTTAAAGATTACTTTAACCAACCAGACGTTGAGACACGTATTACCTATGATGTCAGACAAAATGACGGAAGGTAAGATATTGTAATATGTACACCCTTAATTTAATTGTATCTTTGCACCATTATTTTATTTGCAAATCCAGGTTACATAGAACATGTTTTAAGTGGAGAATATTAAAATGGCCCTTTGCAATCGAGTAGGAATCTAACCCAATCACTGATAATGTCAAACATTGAAGAATTGCGCACCTAGGAAGCTGCTGCACGATCGTAATTCCATTATAGAATCAGACATTGATCCATTTTGATTTACTATATGGATCACTATCAAGTTTATATAATCCAAAACTACATCCAACATACCTCAATGGAATTGTCCAACTCTTTTTTAATACACAATATAAATATGTTTTCAGTACAACCGAGAGAGCCTTCAACCTTAACGGCTATTACAACACTGGAAACGGAAAACTTTACCAACTTTCAGCTGATGAAGATTATAATTTTGGCTTCAACGCTCAGTTTGGATATTTCAAAGCTGCAAAGAACCCAACAGTGTTCTTCCTTGGTGAAAGTACCCATGTTTGTGGCTCTGTGTACTTCAACCTTGATAGTTAAAAAGGTACAGTTAGTTATCACACTTTGTCACTTCGATGTAATTGTGAAAGTGTGATATAGCTTCAAGATGTCAAAGAGGGGCAATTTTTAGACTTTATACATATGACGTTAGAGTACAATTTTAAGATTCTGCTTTGTTCCCTTTTTGGAATATTGTATTTTAATTATATATTAATTTGGAAAATCAGTCGATGAATGAATGGATGAATAAATACGTGACTGTAAAGAATAAATAAATTTAATGATAACATACAGAATAAATAGCGTTACAAATAGCATGTATTCAAATACTGTATGTTGCATCCATTAAACACATTTTGTCTATATATTTGCAGGTCCTGTATCTGGTCACGGAGTAACGAGAGAAACAAAACAGAGAATCTTACCATTTAAGGACATTATTGTATAAATGTAAAAAGTGTATTTTTGTAAATAATATGAAATACTGTAAATATGTACATATGTATGTATATATGGCACACTTGGACTGTACGTGTTATTTTAGAACATACTAAAATATTTTCAAAATAAATGGACATGATATTGAATCACTGAAACCAGCTTAGTATACGTTAATTATACGTAAACGTAAACGTTAATTTATATATAAAAGGTGTCACAGGACAATATCATTTTATGAATAAAATATACCTTGGGGAACAAGTCCTATTGTAGTTATAGGGGCACCATAACTTCTCCCATTGAAACACCAGAGTGCCCAAGCGAATTGAAATCAACGGATCGAAATAACAATTTAAGCTAGTCCACATCAAATATACCCCGGCAAAGGGCCACCTGTCCAATTCTTTGTCATTCCAATGTTCTTTGAGCTTCCTGTGAAATCATTAGTGAAGACAATTCAAATCATTCGTTAAAACATATGATGCCAACAATGAGAAAACCGAACCGATACAATGGACACATTATCAAAAGAAACAACACAATTATATACACAATTAAAATGGAAAAAATGAGAGGCACTTTTGGAACGTCTGCATCAAAACAGTTAGAATGTCAAAGGGGATCGCTAAGTATAAGAGTCATATCCAGATTTACGCATCGGTTCATCACAATTCTAGGTTAGCTGAAAATCTAAACTTGACAAAAATAATATAAATTGCACAGACAACCTTGTTACCTTTAGCCCTATTTACATGAATCAGATATCTTCTAATTCAGATAACTTGAATTAAAAACAACATTTATAATACATCTAGTCATATATTTCAAACATAACTATGACCTTGGTCAATGTATTAACTGGACTTGTCAGGCGTTATATTTGGGTGATTGATGGTATAATTTAGACGAGACCACTGATTACAGATCCCTATAAATGCCAGTGGTTATCGGTCAGTTCTTCGTAGAGATGAAGCTCTTCATTTTGCTAGTATCGGTGGCCGTAGCAGCCGCTGACGGTTCTTGTAACTGTCAGTTTTCATTTCCTGGCTATGGAGGAGCTGGGGGGCGAGGTGCGGTAGTTGCAACACGAGTGGACGCTCAGGAGCTACGTATTGGAAGGTAGGTGTACACACACGACTAGTGTATGTGTCAGGGTATATTAAAACGCAAATTTGTTTTGGCAGTTGAACGATTTTAAATACAACTAAATGCGCAAAATATATCTTAAATATGGCTTTTGATTCATAAAAATGTTTGGCTGCATTTATAATTTTCATGCAATACTTATTCTTTAAATATTTTTGTAAGTATACATGAATACGAATGGTTGAACAAGAGTGGAAAAAGAGTGGTATCGATATGGTGAACTTTTTGAACACGCGTTTCTCTTAGACCAGTCATCTAAACATTCTGAATTTTACACATCGTCAATTTAATGGTCATCTTTTGGATGGTAACATTATAATTAAAATTATATATATATTCTTTTCTCTATATTGTTTTAGAAAACACATCAGACACTTTTTTCGTTCTTGGTATTATATCTTCGGAATGAAATGAAACATCTATCCGAACCTCATTGGAACAAAACGACATAAACACAACGTGTTTCGGTCTCTCAATATTGTACAAAGAAAAGTTTGGTTGATTTTAAAAAAGTATCTTGTTAATGAAATAAAAGGTTAATCTTAATTTTTATCTATTTTTTGGAGGGGAGGGCTTGTTTTAGGTTTTTGCATACGTTTTGTTATATCAACCAAAATTTCCTTTGTAAAACGATAATATTGAGAGGTCTATAACAATGTTGTATATGCTCTTTTGTTCCAACAAGTTTCGGAAACACATTTTATTTCATTCTCAAGCATTGGTAGAAAGGAAAAAGCAATTAAAACTAAAAAACAAAAAATTATAACAAAAACAGCTATATGAAATAGATTTAAATAATTTTTGCATGATATTGTAGCCAATCAGTCAGCATTATATAAAGGACCGATACCTATCCTTTAGAGGGGATAGTAGCATGCCACCAACCTAGAATCGCTTAGAATCATTTTGTTACTAATACTGTAATATTATTTTCTCAATTATGTACAATATCATATCTTTACACAATTACATGCAAACTTCTTATAATATTTTATAAATCATTGTAAATACCATTATGTGGCACCTACTACTCCCTCTCGGGGGTCATAGCCATTACAACCTGTAAATATATGTTACATTGATTTTAATTAAAAATACTGATTGCATTTTAAATGTTGCATTTAGTCACTTTTTTTCTTCAGTGTAACGTCATTATTCTAACATTAATTAATAGCTAAATATCAATTCTTTATTACGAAATACCGCTTTGTTCAGTGACTCTACTAACAATTTAAGGCGCATCGCCACCTTTTTTGCATTCTAAATATTGCATTCGGTAATTTTCTTCTCCCGTGTAACGTCTGCAATGTTTCAAAATCAATCAGTAATTCATTAATAATTCTTCATTAAGACACACTGTTCTGTTCAGTGTCTCTACTGACAGACACATTTAAATAAAATTGTGACAAACAAAAACATCACAATGCATTAAACCCCACTTAGGTAGCAACACAACAGAATGCACTGTATTTTATTTTAAAGAATATACAGTTGTAACAAAGAAACTTGCTTTCTTTTTCTATTGTTTTTAAACAATTGACATTTGGCAGGTTAGTAGTGCACAAACGACGATTGACTGTAACATGCAATGCTGTGCACTAATACTGAACTAATTACACCCAATTCACTTATTCAATAGTTGAATAGTAAACACAAAAGAAAAAAGCAGTACCTTGCCTGGTAAATGCAGTGCACTGAAGCTGAACTAATTACACCAACTTCTCAACAAACTTACCTCATAGTCAATACAAAAGAAATTAATCGTTATGCCTGGGTCACATTTGCTGCGATTCATCGGCCGGCGCCCGGCCGATTGAGTATTTTGTTCAAAATTGAATACATTTCTGAACAAAATACTCAATCGGCCGGGCGCCTCAGTGAAAATCGGAGCAAATGTGACCAAGGCATTAGTCTCAACGTTTTACGGATCATTGACCATTTACCTTTCATAAGAGTCGTACTAGGTACTTGGAGAATTCATAGCTTGTAAAATCCAGTACTCAAAGTTTATCAAACAGTTCGGATACATAATGCTCAAACTTTGATAAAGGACCAGGTATGGTATGGGAAAATATTTAAAGCTCTTATATTCATTCTAAGCACAAATACAGTATTTTAACTGAAATAACATGTTTACTTTGTAATAGAGTTATTATGGTAATAAAATATCAATGCAGCTCTCCAAAAACATTGTTTAATGACCCCGTTGCAATCTAGGCACATTTTCTGAAAAGGAGAACCAGAAATATTACTGTCTAAAACAATTTGCCAATGCCATACCTGGTCTTAGGCTCCAGTTGTAACTAATTTATGTTTTATAAAGTTGGTGATGATAGGGGTGTATTCTTTAAACAAAATTTTCTAATAATAAAAACCGAATATATTATTATGAAATTATGAATTTATCAAATAATGCACACAATTTTGTGGAATCTAAGTGGGATTAAAATGATAATCCGATTTATTGTAAATATGCTTAGATCAACGTTTTGGGTCTTATAAAATGTGTAAAAAAATACGTTTAATGGCCCTTTGTAATGAGACTTTGGTTATATAACTTTCGGCGTAATTCATATTTGGAACATGCTTTTCTTTATAGACTCGAAGCATCAATCCAGAAACTCAGTGACAAATTCTCAAGCTCAGGCAAAGACTACAATGAGGCAATATCAGTACTCGACTACCTTAACGACAAAGTTGAGGAAATTAGACGTAAGTCTTTATTACAATTAAAAATTATATATTGTCTTAAATACTTTCTACTGCTAATATTGATTTACAATACTTTATCAGACATAATGATGAGGAGAATGGTATGTGAATTGATTGAAGCATGTCATGTTGCATATGTTTTTTTTTGTTTTTTTTAACATATTATTTATTTCCTGTTGCATATGTTAATATTAGGCTTCATAGTTCTTACTTTTACATCCTCGTTTCCTCTCATAGTCCTTATTCATTTAACCAAATTACATAATTTATCAATTCACCCCTGCTATTACATATCACATTGTGACTTTGGACCTCCTTTGCTCGGAAGCGCAGTTACACCACAACTATGAATAATTTACTTGTTTTATGTTCCATTTGATATTGTATTTTATCCTAATAGCCAAGAAGTGTGCTGATGGACAAATTGAGTGCTTGGACAACGGGGATTGTGTTAATGAACTGTTGATCTGTGATGGCCAAAATGATTGTGTTGATGGTTCTGATGAAGAAGACAGAGTGTGCAGTGAGTTTAATTGGAATCTGTACAATCAATATATCATGCTCTTGTAGTTCTAGAAAACAGAAGGCCAACATTTGTTTGCAGAGCATGATTTTCACTTACACTTTAATATCACGCCAACGATATTTGGCCCCCTATCCACTAAAGTATTATTCGCTGTGACATCGAACACAATGCAAAACCTTAATACTGAGCTAGCATTCGCGAATCAACTGCCGACTGACGGTTTGATTTCTATTAGATCTAACACTCACCTAATAGACCATAATGAGGAAAACATGTGTTCAAACATAATTCCAAATGATGAGGCTGTTGCGCATCACCCATAAGATATGCATCATAGGTATAGAAACGTTCAGATACTTAATTTTTAATCCCCTCCCTGACCCATCGCATCCTTATGATGTTTCATTTGCAGAACTTCCATTTGGCGTTGGCAAGGAATACAACGGTCGTCTCCTGAGCGGTAACGAATGTCTGAAGGGGGGTTACCCTGCCGATGTGTCAGTTACAATTACGTCACTAACAAGGATGCCATGGTTTCCTCAGAGACCCAAAGTTGACGCAAGAGTTGTCTACAAATACAGTGATCACGGAACGTAAGTACCTTATGTTGTATAGATAATATGAGTTAAGAGATGGTACACCACTCAACAATAACATACCAATACATTGAATCCACATGATAAATCCAAACTATCCTCTGGATCTCCGTTCTCTGGTACAGATGTCATTCGTTAGCCTGACATGTAGTTTTCAACTAGGGTTTCAACAGGGCATTGTTACTTCAGACTACATTTCTATACACCCTACATAGGCCATCTATGGAAAAAATAGAAAATATGACATGGGCCATCTATGGAAAAATAGAAAATATGAGTGCGTCTGCTGTACTTAACATAAATGCTGAAGTTTGAGTCAGGATTATGAAATTTATTACTGAATGTAATATTTGTGTATTATTACATGGTAAGTCCTTGATGTCCATAATGTACTATTTCAGTGCATATATCGAATACACAAACAACAATTGAAATGGAAATGTCGAAAAAATGAAATATTTATATGAATTGTGCATTTAGGGATGTTGCTGGGTCTTACAAGGTTCATGGTTACTACTCCGCCGCTACAGCAACGCTGGACTTGAATTCCATAGATGACGAGGAAGATTGTGGATTAAAAGCTAAGTTTGGAGCATACAATAACGACAAGGCCGTAGCTGACTTCTTTTTGAAATTCCATACAGAGTCTTGTGGCCAAGTCTATCTAAAGGCATAGATATAACTGACCAAAGGTAATTATATACTATATGGTGATGTCAAGGAATAAAACTTGCCAGTGTCTTTTGATTTATATATTCTAAATAAACTTAATAGCAATTATATCAGCGCGAGTTCACTTCGATCACACGTGCTGATCTTCAAACTAAATATGTAACTTAATTATACGAAATTATTCCCAAACTTGGACAATATTATGTAATATTCTGTAATACTATGTGATGATTTGATTAATTATATAAATTAATTTATTGAACCAAACTTGTTGGTTGTGTTGAGTTGTGAACAGAGATTTGGTAATCACATGCAAGACATAACACAAATAACTTATTTTTTGAAAAGTCATATTAAGTTTATTTGTTTTATACTGAATATTCCTGTTTTTATACTTTCAGTTTTAATCCACGGAGAGAGGAACATCATCTTTTTAAATATTACCAAAAATGGACATTCTCCAACGTAACTTTTACCAAATAAGGACAATCTCAGAGCCAAAAGACGAGTGTTTTCGTTTGTGAATAGCATGACTACTGCCTCGAGGAATCTCAATAACCACTGACGTTAACATCACAGTGGGCTGTAAATATGTACATATAATATTGAGCACACTTGGACTTGTATAGAGCAACTTATATTACGTTGTAAATATTAAACATATTGAATGAAAAAATAAATTATTTAACCAATGGTGAATACATTTTGTTTTCCTTGAATTAAATGTGCAACAATTAGTGCAGAGGGGCATTCAAAGATCATAGACCAGTGTCAAAATATATTTAAGTTTGGACATTTCATCAAGACTAACATATATTTTTTATCTACAAAATAACCCCTGGATGAACATTATTTCAACTGATATTCCTCTTGAAACGTGGTGAATCTTAAAAATCTATTAAGTGGAACTCCTTTTTATAGAATCTTTGAACTGAATTTACACTTCTTAAAGCTGAAATTGAGAAGTTATCCATACATTTTAAGAAAATAGGTATGTCAAAGAAAATATTAGGCCAAATATGCCCCTTTTAATATTTGAAATAATGAAAGGGAACTTGAGGAAACATATTGGAAGTTAGTAGGTTGAGACGACTAAGATTGAAAATACATAATATATACGAGGGGTGATTCAAAAGTCGTGCACGCCCTGCTCTAATTTTGTTAATTTTTGATAAAACTTTCCAATAATAAAGACCAACAACCTAACTACTTTGTGTATTAATTTCATGGTAAAATGATATATTTTATGTCGTTCCCTAGATCATTTTTAATATAGGGACCCTGCCACCTGGAACGATATTCGCACATGGCAACTCAAAGCCTTAAATGTTGCCGACATTTGACTTGTTTCGCAAGTCTTGACCACTATCTTTCTTTGAATTTTGAATGTTTAACCATGTTAGTTTACTTCCTTTGTTACCAGACAACCGATTAATTGTGTTTTAATTATAATGTTAACTTGACAATGGCCGTAAATGTCAAATTCTAAGAAAATGACATCCAACATCCGTTTATCATTTTTTGCTTTTTGAAACATATTATATAATAAGGCGCGACCAAGGATTACTGTTGAATTGAACTTAACCCCACACGACCTTCACTTCAGATATACAATATATAAGGTTATAATGCATTTTTGGTAATCGTGTCGTAAAAGTAAAGAAACAAAGTGGATTTAAGTTTAAGTTCAGACGGTTGAGTAGATAAATGGATTTCTCTGCACTCATTTGGTTCCTAATATCAAGATCATTACAGACACTAGATTGAAGGAATGAGAAGAAATATATCATGAAAAAAGTTGAAATCAATTTTTCAAAAAAACCATTACAATTTAATCCTTATAATCCCATTCATTGGAAAATCTTAATAATATTTTCTAAGAAAATGATTGAGATATCTGATAAAATATTGAAGTAGTTGAAAATTTGAGATATTAAAAATTGAACAGAATTAAAAGGATTATCCCTTTTAATTTATTTCAATCAACTTTTTTATCACCATTTCCCTTATTTTCCCTTATTTGAGAGAACTGACACAACAACCGTATTGGCATCCCTCAGATTGACACCGCATGTGATTTTATTTTTCCAACAACGAATGTTAGAAATGTCATGTAGCATGTCAGGCACTAATAGCAAAGATGAAGGTTTGAAATAGCAAAGTGAAGGTTTCAAAATCATTATTCCTATGCAGTTCAATGAGATACAGTAGTTCAATTAGCAAAATCGTTCTTATCTAAACTATTTTGGGATGTTTGGGATTTGGTTTCGTTTGACTGTTTGACTGGTTTAATCTCTTATCTCATGGATATCGATTTTCAAAGTACATTCTAGGATACAATTTAAGATATCGGGGAACGTTTTCTTTGACTGGTTCTTACACTCTGAAATTTTGATATTTTGACATTCATTTTGGAATACGTGAAGTTGACTTCCCGATACACTGTTATATGTAATTATATGATGATGATCAGCACGAACATACAATATGCACTCCCGATGTATGCTGGGTTTTAGTGTGCATGAGACTCTTCAGAGTAAATAATGCATTTGCACGTACTTCCATTGAGAATCTGAAGGCCATGTTGCAAAAATTAAACTCTGTGTATGCGTGAGGATATTTTTTAGACATTAGGTGAACATGTCATGTTGAAAGTAATTGATTAAGTTAATCACTCTTAAATTAGTGCGGTAGTTATTTGTAGTAGAGGTCCTACGTGATGTCAGCCACCAGGACTATTGTCGTTAGAATTGTCCCATGTCAGACATAATGTCCTTACGTTGGACCTTGTTTGCCAGACAATTTTTATCGATAAATTACCCCGCACGTTAGGTACATGAATAACCTAATATATGGGTAGATAACGAGACAGTATATATATTTGGTAATATAAGGTTGGATTACGAGTGCCAAATCTTCATGGTATAGCATCATGAAGTATATCGGACTGCTTTTACTTGTGGCATATGCCACGGCAAACGATAGTTGTAGATGCTCGTTTTCATTCCCGGGAGGTGGTGGTGCGAACTACGCTCAACGAACTAGAGTAGATGCTCAGCAATTGCGTATAGGACGGTAAGTTTAGCTTAAGAATGTTTCCGTATAAGAGAATAAAGGCTCTGATCCTCCATTTAAATATAGCCATTAAAGGTATAATCTAGTTTTTTAAAACTGGTTGGTAGTTTACGTTCTCTTTTATGCAAAGTAAAAGTTGATTCATTCACATTTGAAACTTCCCTCCAATATCAATATATCCTACCCACAACCTATGTTAAATTCTTGCATATTAAAGAATTCGCAAACCAGTATTCTTGTAAAATAATTGGTTTCTTCCATTGCAAGATTTAACGTGAAATCAGTTGTCAGTGTTTTGTTCCTTTCAAATTAAGTTGTAATGGATTCTAAATATATTAAGCTACGACCCCAGGTGGAATTGAAAGTATGAACGATTTTCCCCGATGGGTTTCTATGTTTTGCACTGGCAAGAAAATCACATAAGCGACGCAGAAATGCTCTTCCAAGTCTAACGACTCAAACGATGATTTGCCTATCAGTGTTTCAAGTTCTCCCAATGATATTGTTTTGTCAGTTGAATGTTTACACACAATCGCGACTCAATCCGCTAATGATGTGTACTCTTGTCCTTTACAAAATGTATTTTATAAAAATCGTAGGTACGATAGATTTACAATTTGTTTTTTATAGACTTGAACAACAAATAGCCGACTTATCAAAGAAGTATGACGATTCAAGCGACGACTATAACTCCGCTGTTGAAACTCTAGATTACCTCAATGACAAAGTGGAGGAAGTCAGAGGTAAGTTGTGGCTGGTCTTCAAGTCTGTGGCTGGTCTTCAAGTCTGTTAAAGAGACAATTAAGATTGTAATTGATGTTGTATTGAGTAATTAGGGGACTTAAAGTACATGTATGTAATGACAAGGAATGATATAATTCAAAAACTTTCTAAAATTGAAACATTTTTTATGGAAATATTTAACGTGAGATCTGAATCTCTATTTAAAGACATACCATGATTCAGATATCCATACTCTTTATGCAGGCCTTGACAGTTAACATAAAATGGAGTTATCATTTTTGAAATTATCAAAATGTGATTGATTTGAATTAGGAAACCATATTAACCTAAATTTGAGCGAGTTATGCCATACGTTCCATAAATTAAGTATAATAAGATCTGGCAATGGTGTCTAAGATATTGCATATAACGGACACCTTAAAACCTTAGACAACCATCGTGACTGATACTTTCTTTCAATAATTTAAATGATTTGTTTTAGAGAAGCGTTGCCAAGAAGGATCTGTTGAATGCTTAGACAATGGCGAATGCATTGACACTCTTTTAGTATGTGACGGTGTGAAGGACTGTTCAGATGGCTCCGATGAAAAATCCCTAGTTTGCAGTGAGTTGCTTTTATTTCGGTCAACATTGGCTTTGAATTTGGTCATGAAAATATTATTATGGGTCGAGGCAAAGGCGTCAATATGGGGAAGACAAAAACAAAAATGTTCAATTTTATACAATGTGCAATCGCTTTCAAGAAAGGTAAAAACCCCGCTCACGGCTTAAACAATGACGCAGTTTCAAAGAAGCAGTATCAAACAACATAAAACCCAGCATTATTTTCTAATATCACAACATCATGAAATATCAAATTGATGGGATTATAAAAAACTTAGATTATCATCAACCAAAGCAGAGCTATATTGATTTTTGAAACCACATATTTAGATGTAATTTTTCAAGGATGTACATTTTAAACATGATATCACATTGACCAACGATTATTTAAATTTTTAAACATCAAGATTAGCTTTAAATTTGCTTGCAACTAGTCTATAACAGGGTGTTTTTCACCAAAATCCAAACAAATCGATAGAAATGAGTTAAATCATTTCAGATCTCCCATTCGCGGTAGGAAAAACGTATGGTGGATACCTACTGAGTGGAAATGATTGCCTAATAGGGGGATTCAAAACCCAGGTGAAGGCTACAATAACATCGGTTAAAGTACTCCCATATTTTAAACAAAGACCTAAGATCGGCGCAAGACTTTCATACAGTTACAACGACAGGGGAACGTAAGTCATGTGTTGTGATTTATTGTTGATGATGATTCACCTACTGACGTTTTTTTATTCTAATTTGGTTATGTGTTTTTTCAGCTGTTGCCGTTGAATTTAACGCTTACCAATTCAACTCTCCATGCGATATAATTGAAAAATTCTCCAGGCCATAAATAAATGTGTTGATTTTGAAATAATGTTCGTACTTTATCATGATATGGTCTTATTCCTCGAATCAACATTGGCCATGAGTGACTTAACTTGTATTTGGTAGAACATAACAAATAAAACTATTCACAATCTTTGTCTCTTGAAACCCAATCTTTATGGTAGATTATATACATTTGACATACTTGGATTTATATTCAGTGAGACAAGCGGGTCTTACAGACTAAGTGGTTACTATAACGCTGCCACAGCCTCCCTCGTTTTGGACTCCGTAGAAGATGATGAAGACATTGGCTTTGTTGCCAAATTTGGCGCATACAACAATGACAAAGCTGTGGCTGATTTCCGTCTGAAATACGAAACTGACTCATGTGGCCAAGTATTCTTGCAGAAAGAATAGGAAGGTGACGTTTACCTTATGTTTCCTTGTTGATAATATCATGTACTAAGAAGAATGTTTTAAGAGTAAACGCTCATGTGACATCGGTATCGAGATATGCTCATATATTGTATTTTACTAAACTTAGTAAACCTTTGTATGTAAATATCAAAATTTCTTGTATACTTGTTTATATAAACGACATCGACTGGTGATCTTATAAAATGTTGTTTTATTTATGTAATTTATATTGTATAATTTGTAAGATCAGTGACACTGAAATAAACTTTTTTAAGCTAAACTATAAAATATATCATTCAACAAGTACTCAAGTTTAAATAGGTGAACGGTAACAAGAATATCAGTCCACTAGTGATCTACCAATAATATATGATTATATATATCCCCTGTAAAGAAAAAAGGTGCATTGGAAAGTAAGAAAGGATTGAATATAAACTCACAAAATCATGAGTGTGACTTTTTACCATAAATTGACGTCATAAATTTGAGAAATCCTATACCGAGCAATGTGCCCAAGAAGGGGATCTTCTGAGACATGAAGTTAAAATTGTTAGTTATTAAGAGGAAAACACCATTTTAAAAAATCTTCAATCCAATAAACCTTTGTGAAAAATATCAGTTATAGAATAAAAGTCCGATTAATTACAACCATTTTTTATAGAGTTTGAGGTAATATTCTTCGGATTTAGAGGTCTCTTATCAGTTCAAAATTAGGAGTAGGGGTGACACATTTTGCAATAAACTTGAAATTGTAAAATAATTATAACCCTTAATCTTTCCAATGACCCATAAATATGTTATACATCCTATACTTAGCTTATGCATACCAAAATTTATATCAGATGTGATATATAAATGTGTTTATTGAGCATAATGGTTACATCCTATCCTTAATTTCACTGCCATTTAAGGTGTAAAATTGTCTAAAAATCATGGTTTAGACGGGTTTTGGCACCTCCATAATTTTCTGTCAGTTTGTCAATGTTTATGTCAAACTTGCCAGTTATGACCGGTTATGACTGGGCTTTCCAATGGTATGAAGAATATGACACATATATGAAACTGTACGAAAATGTATAACACCATATAATTGCAAAATGTAATTTATGACGTCATTTAAAGAAAAAGTCATATTAGTGAGTTTGTGAGACAATGTCTTTAACCATTGCTAGCTTTTTCAAATTTTTATCTAATTTTTAAAAATTTCTTCCCGTTATGCACACAATGTGTCGCCAAGAGTTTAGTGATATAATACAAACTTTTGAAAATGTTATGACTGATAAAGGACTATGCATGCACCTTTTCTTTCTTTACAGAGGGTATGCTAATATCCATGCGTTTACAGCATGTACTAATGTGAATATTGCATTCATTTTCAGAGTTTCCAGGCCATATTATCCTCATCTACAAACAACAGTCATCGCAGTTTCAAATATTATCATGGACTTATCATTTGTAAATAACATGAACACTATATAGAGGAATCTCAATAACCACAAACTTTCACATCACAGTGGTTTGTAAATATGTACATATAATATTGTGCACACTTGGACTTGTATTGTATTAAAATTATTTACATAACAATAAATTCAACAACATATTTCACTACTTTTGTTCATTTTAATTGAAATAAAGATAGGTACCTCTTGGTCAGTATGCTCTAAAGTCTGATAATGACCATTTGGTGTTTTAATAAGTAAGGTACCTTTAACATATATCAATATAATAATATCTTGTAACTATTTTAACATTTGGAAAGCCTCCTTTCATAATTCTACGAGCAACCAAACCGAATATTGCATATAAGTATAAGCACTACTTATCATGTACTATACATTAGTGCAAAAATGTCAAAAATATTTGACGTTTGGAAAACTGTTATCTTTAGAGCATGATCGATTTAATCAACAAAAACAACGATAGCATGTTCTCACGGAATCCCAACCATGTATAGTTATGTCACATAATAATCTAGTTGAACCTATAATGGATACAATCCCGATTAAATAATGATTTCTTGAATTTTGATAATAGACCAATTTGATTTGGAACGCAAAATGAAATAAAAAAAACGACATCCTTCAGATTGCAAATTTATAGGCATACTATATCTAACTACAGGGTGGTCAAAAAATAGAGTATTTGAGAATGACCTCAGGACAATTGCAAACCTCAAAAGTGAGATCATTTGTGTCATTCAGGCCATACCTGTTGAGGAATGCATTCGGGTCATTATACAACTGTGCTGTTTTGCCTACAGCGCGATAATGGCCAAATCTGAAGCATGTTATTCAAAGTGCTGTGAAATTGTGAAGATCAGTCTGAAGGTCATGAAATGTTAGGGTGGTAGGAAAGTGAATGATGTACAAATGTATGAAATATCAGGGAAGAAGATTGGGTAGGGCTATTTGACATCGTATAACATTATTTAGCTTAAAATGAATCTAGGCATGTTTAACCCTTGTTTTTACACCTTCTAAGGGTTTTTGGTTCGGACCCCAAGCACTAATATGTTGCAATAACTTTGCAGCCAGAGAGGGTTTCTTTATTCTGATTTCAGTTCTCAATAGGTTATCCAATTGCCATTCACATTATACAGGTTGGCGAAAATCAAGCTTAAAGATGCATATTATATAATAAATGTTAAACCATATGCCATGTACAATATATCACTTAAAAATCATTTCCAAACAATATGATACCATCTGATTGAAAGATTATTTTCCTGTGGAGTTAAAGGCTAAAATTGACATCAGGAGTGTCTGGAAATTTCCAAATATTCTTCCATATTAAAGTCACGACTGCACTCAATATGCTTAACTGCATCATTATAACTTTATTCAGAGTAATACACATTTGATAGTTAATTAAGTTCATACGTATTATGTGTGAATTTTGCACTAAACTCGAATAAATGTACCTCTTTTGAAGGCGCCAAAATACAATTCCCTCCATTTCCAATTTGAAAATCTGCATACAATGAATAATAGTTTGGTCGCTTATGACACCCCTGATGTCAATAATTGCCTCCAACTCGACAAAAAAACAATGAATTGTGTCAGATTGTGTCAGATTGTTAGGAAATGATTTATCTTCAAAATTATATAAGATACATGGCATGTTCTAACATATATCATATGATACTAATCTTTAACTGATGTAATATATTTTTTGTCCCACCATGTATATGGATTAACTTCTTGTATGTACGGAAATATGATTAAACCTAATTACACGGGGCCATGTGTCTTGGTGAGCTTCATCTAAAATGGGCTATAAACAGGTACCAATTTCAATAATATATATTTTTGAGGCATTAATGAGTAAAAACAACAGTCTTTTAGATCAGTTTATGATAATAAAGCTGTTAAAATATTACCAGTATCTTTATTTGTCTGAGAAAAAAGCAGCTAAAAGGTTCCGAAGCAATATCAAATCTTTCTTACTTTTTTGTTATGCCTATTTGTAGCTTCAAGCAAATTATATTCATTTGTGAATATTATCATCATAACCTACATCAAATCAAGATACTGTATCTAAATAGATATGGTATAGTGCAAATGCACATTAAAAGGGTCAAATGCCTATTACATAAGACCATGGTGAACCATGTTATATGATTGAATTTTATGGTCATCATTACAGACCATACTTCATCCAAATCCATTGTCTTAATCCAGTCAATACAATGACGACGGATTTATTTTATTGCAAATTAATGTTATCATGAGTGAAATTAACATCAACACTTACTACCGTGGGTTTTAAACTTTTTATTTTTTATTTATTTTTTTTTATTTTATTATTTTTTATTGAATCAAACATGAAATGATACATTTAACAAGGCAAAGATGAAATATTAAACCACTTTCACACCACCTCCATTCATTCAGACATTCGCAACAGTCATTCTCAAAAGTTCTGGTATATATAAAAACATGGTATTTTCAAATTGAATCACCTCCAAGTTGGGATTTACCTCATTAAATTGTTTTGCATATATTATATTTGGTTGCTAGTGATAGCCTGTTTAGCAAAGTGTTTTCATTATTTACAGATCTTCCGAACACCATATCATGAGCATTAAAATCAAGATTTACATTAAATAGATTCTCTAAATTCTCTTTAATAGCTTTCAGAAAAATCTGAACCCACCTACATTCCCAAAACGTGTGCTTTAAAGTGTCTCTTAATGGACAGTAACTACATTTAGCATCCTGTTTAATTCCTATCTGCGTTAAGTAAGCATTTGTGGTACAAATACCATGACGAATCTTAAATTGAAGTTGTCGAATTTTATTTTGTTTCGTGCAGCTATAAGCCATTTTAAAGTAGTCTGTTCTTCTTAACTCACGATCATGTTCATTTTTATACAGTGGTTCCAAATATTTGTTTCTATTTAATATTTTTTGAATTGACTTCACTGTTAAACCATATAATGACACTGGTTTTTCGCCAAGTGTTAATTGCACAAGATCCGTCTGTAGGCTCGGTTCAAAGACAGAAGTTAAGTCTCGCTTCAATAAACGTTTCCACTCCTTCGGTACAACTGATAGTATAGCATAATAATCAATAAAATTAATTTGTACGTTGTATTTTGCCTCAAAATCATAATACTGTAAAAAATGTCCCTGGTCATTTAGGGGGTCATTTACGGATTTCGGGTCGAAAAGTGTCTTTCATCACAAGGGGTCAAAAAACGTAAATATTTTCATTCGAACTTTTATACATTTTATAAGACACAGACCGTTATTCTAAGCATACGAACAAAAATAGATTATCATAATTTAAAAATATACTTTAATTTTTCTGTAGATGTTGGTGTTTAATTAGTGAAATTACGCAAGTGTGTTTTCAGATTTTGTTTGATTTTTAAAATATGAGCCAAGCAGATTTAACAAAATTGTGTGGAATATTTAGGTAATTTATGATTGGAAACATATTAGTTTTCTTATCATTTAAAACATTTTGTTACAAGAATTTTTCCGTATAATCGCAAGGGGTTAAACAACAAATTATTGTCCATGTTTTACAAAACATAATACAATAACAAATAGGTAAGATTTATATCTAATTAAATCTATTTAAATGTATACAGGTATTGGAGTGTTCATATATTCCAAGGGCATATCTAATAATCAATTTGAGTCATATGAAATCGAACGCCTTACAATTCTTCCCCGACGTTACTGCTGGCTATCATCAAATTTTCTGATGGTTGTTTCTTCTTTGACCTTACCGCTGGATATAATCAAAGTTTAAGAAGATAATGATAACGATTTCTTTCAATTATTCATGAATTCGACCAAGTTTTGATGGTCGTTTTATAAGCAACTGAGCTATACTGTATCTAACTACGAGAAATGGAATTTTAGCTGTAGTCCCAATTAGTCAAGGAAGAGCAATAGGCCCTCCTTTATTGATAATGTTCACTGCGGATTAAAAGTCAATAACTCAAAACGTATTGAGACCCATTTTGTGAAAAACTAACATAAAGTATTGTTAGCATTATGTAAGTTTCTAAATGAGGCTGGGAAGCAATTGTAAATATGTTTGTTATGAAATACTTAATTGTTAAATACTTATTTACTGTATGTACTTTTGCCTAATACCCTTTATTTGGGTGATGGTATAATAAATAAAATTGAAATTGAAATTGAAATAGTTTAAAAGTGATTAATTTGTAGCATTTATCTTATTAATACCTTAGAAATAACACAAAACGTCGATACACTGATTACATAATGTTTTAGTATTGATAAGAAAAACAAAGCAACCTCAAACGTATAGCTTAGACACCTAAATCGTATATTTAAAATCATTTTGTATTGTTTTCTGTTGCATTGTGTACTCCAAATTGTGATAAATTGGGATTTTAATTTGTTGGTAACTTTTTGACCTGTGTTAATGACAGCCATAATTCAGCCTTAAAGCCGGAAGTATATTACACGGTTATAATGAAAATTATTAAGGAATATATGTAGGTATGTTAATGTTAGGTCAAATATCGCTGCGCTATAGTGTGCTACCAGCTCCTTTATTAGACGTCCTAGAGATTTCATACCATAGACTAAAACTGGCACCTTTTAATCCCAACAATATCCAAATTATATGTTTTCAGGGTAAAACAATCTTAATCAGCAAAATGTATTTATACATTTGTAAACATTTTATTATCAAATAGCTTACATTCATTTAGAAATGTACAAGTCCAAGTGTGCACTGTATTTTATGTACATAATTTATCTACAAACCACTTTGATGTGACAGAAGTTGGTTATTGAGATTCCTTTATATAGTGTTCATGTTATTTACAAAATGTATTTATGAAATATCAATTAAAGTCTCTTTGTAGTGTCATAGCATTGCTTCGTATCTTCGGTTTCCGGATTTTTGAATCTGAAAGAAAGCAATGTAAATATAAGTATGTGTATATACAATAATTTATTCTTTATATACGAGGGGTGATTCAAAAGTAATGGACAAAATCTCATAGTCATACTTAACGTTACCCAATTAGACATTCATTTGATTATTCAATTTTCTACTAAGTGTCAAATTCTTATTTAACAACATTTGATATTGTTATGCGTAGCCATGGTAACTAGGGTAAGCATGAGCGAAATCTACTCTTGAATGATAATTGAACATTTTTGTCATTTCTGTTTGATTTCATGTTAATGACTCGACACACATGTCGTGTCTATTAAATGCTTAATCAATTGTCAAGGAAGATTCACAAGTCCAAGTGAGTTCTAAATTCAGCAGCAAGTTATGCTGTATTACATTCCAACGAATGCTTTTAAAATAGTGAGTCAAATAGAGTCAGACTTAGATAAATTAAAGTAAAACAAAGAATTGTTATAGTCTAATTGGGAATAACTGGAGACACAATACAGGCTGTTGTTAGAAAAAATCAAAGATTCAAGACAAGCATTTAGAGGTTATGCAAGCACTTAGGTGGAGGTGATGAGAGGGTGCTGAATATTTAGCGATCTGGAAGACCACAGATTTGGTCACCCTGATCCCAAGGATAACAGTAGATATCTTGTAGAAGCCATCTCAAATTCAGTCGGGAGATTCACACCGAGGGAAATAAGTGCCATTACAGATGAGTTATATACTAAATAGAATCTAAATGGATAATTAGGAATCATGTGAATTATGGTTGAACTTATTGAGCTACCATCTTGAAAAATGTATTTCACCAGCCAACTTTTCATGAATATCCATGTTATCATGAAGTCAATTCCAGGTATAAGCACCCTAATGCAGGAGATATACCATCTATTGAAATGTATTTCTATTGATGTAATACCATTTTCACAACTTATAGATAATTGGCTGGTCTTATATGTGCCAATCTTTATACAAATTGGGTGAGAGTAAGCATGGCTATAACATTTATAACATTTTGTCCATTACTTTTGAATCACCCCTAATAGAGACATTCTGCATTAAGTCAAGTTTCGAAGGAGAGCATCATGAATAAATAACCCTCTTAACACTACTATCACTCCAAACTAGTTCTCACTACGTTCTCGAAAACGGGCTTCAACTATTTACGAACGGACTGGACGTACTTAGAACCGTTTGGGGTCTATTCACAAACTTCATCGAACGTACTTAAACGGGTAGGTCCTCTAGAACTTAGAACATGCTCAAAATGCTCTCTTGGTCGTCACGTTCTACAATTAGAACGAGTGACAACGCACTAACGACGTACATCAATCCTACTAGGGACGTTTTTACAACGAGTGGAACTGTCTGAGGACGTATTGAGAACGGCGTTGCACACCGACGTGATGCGACCTGAACGAACTGCGAATGAGATGGACGTATTGAAGACTGTCTATGAACGAAGTAGCTAATTATTTTAGATATATTTCCCGACCACAGCCAGATTTAGCCCGTTTTACGACGTTTTCGTAGGACTGGCAAGAACGGGCAAGAACTAGTTTGGTGTGATAGGGGGGTTAGGATTCGTTATTGCATTGCGTTTAAAAGTGTACGTTTGTAAAAAGCAGGCTATGGCATATTTACCTTATTTAGGCTTTTGTGAGGAAAACTATTCCACAGGAATCGGTTTCATGTGCACGGGCAAACGTTGCTACTGCTTTGTTGTTGTTGTATGCTCCAAATTTAGCAGATAAGCCAATGTCGTCACTGGCGTCAGTGGCGGAAAGGCTAAGGGTGGCAACAGCAGCGTTATAGTAGCCGCTTACTTTGAAGGAGCCAGCAGTCTCACTAAAATAATCAATAAAGTCAATGAATAAAGATATTCGTGTCGTGTATTTTCTTTGGGAATTCTTCCTCGTCGTGCCTATTTGTTCAAGAAATATAGCATGCTTCCGATGTTTAATGTTATTTGAAAATGTGTTTGTGTGGACGTTTCTAACAATAACATTGTAGTATGTACAGGGTGGACAATATAGAAAGATGTACGAAGATGTATTATGTTTAGCATACCAAAAGATGGGGAATTGAATGAACTATAGTAAGATGTATTCGTATGTCACATATTTTGAATGCTATAGAAACCATGATGATTTGAGTTTATGATGTCACAATTCGCTAACACAGATTTTCTTCGCTAAAGAAATCCGAAAGGAAGCTGACTAATGTGTCAACCTTTATAAGCAATAATTGTCCAAGATCTATAAAATGTCCACAATCTACATTATTTATGCCATCCTTTAAGATTCGTTACTATTAATTAATGAGTTACATTATCCTCAATCTATTGATGTTTAGCAAGTGTATCTTCATGACCTATGCCCATTTTATCATCCGATCAGAACCCGATCAGAACCCGATCAGAACCCCCGATTGAATTCTCATGGTATGCAAGGTAAATGTTCCAAATGCATATTCAAAAGTCAATCTATTGAAAAAATGCTGTTTAAAATACTGTATACGTGGTAATCTAGTCTTATCATTTAATTTGCCTATTGCCTAGTTTTTTCAGGTTCGGAATAGAAATATTAATCTGAATAATGTATAATGTTATCCCACCGGACCTTTACTATCATAAGAAAAATTAGAATTAGGAGAATGATAATATTTGAACATTTGTCAAATTAACCACTTTGATTAAATATCACTTCTATAGTATACAGAGGACTGCCAAGACTACAAGTAAAAATTACATGCTAGTGATATTTTAGTGGAATAATGAATGAATAGTAAAAATGATTAACTTAACCCAAAATGATAACCATTCAAAATTATTTTACAATCGCAAAAGCTGTTTTTTGAAGGGCATGCACCACAAGTCAAGCAAAAAATAATGAAAACATGCATCATTTGACATGAACTTTTAAACATACATCCACAAATGGTAGGTCTTTAATTTTCATGGAATTTGACTTTTATATATTCGCTTAAATATAATATATGTTTGTGTCTAATTCCCATTTGCCCACACTGTACACACACTTTCACGCTTCTAAACTTAGCACGTTACTCACGTTCCACCGTCGGAGTAACGATATACTACTCGTCCGCCGATCTTGGGTCTTTGTGGGAACCATGGGAGTTTGGTAATAGATGTTATCGAAACGGTTACATCGGACTTGAATCCTCCATCTAGACACTCGTTTCCACTAAGTAATTGTCCTTTGAATTCATCTCCTACTGTGATTGGTAGAGCTAGAAATAAAGGTGTGTATTAATTTGTGAACACGTTGTAGGTGTGTATTTGTAAACACGTTGTGTAAGAGGGTGTCCATAAATGTAAATATAAACCATGCAACGAGCTTGAACATAGTTCAGTATTTCAAATTAATTCGAATTCGGACGAAATGGCTAGAAGAATAAAGATATGTTATATATGTTTATATGAGCACTGAGCCGTGAAGTGAAGAGTGGCATAGACTACAGGGCTGTAGTGTTTCGGTCTGTATTATTACTATCATTTTATTTATTTCCTTATTTTAGAAATGAATTTGAAGAATTGAACAGCTTCATATCTACTGACAGAAATGTGGATTGATCGCATATTCTTCAACTCAATGTTAAACTTAAGTTTAGTTACATCAGATGTTGATTACCATCAAGCTATTTTTAAGACTATGCATGTCGAAATTATGGCAGGTGAAATAAAATGCCTTACTACAAACACGTTCTTGTTCATCAGAATTGTCGAAGCAATCTTTGACTCCATCGCAGACCAGCAACTGGTCAACACAATCCCCGTTGTCCAAGCACTCAACCTCTCCTTCAGGGCACTTCTTGGCTGTAAGGACACAAATCAGACACAAATCAAACATTTAAGTCATCTCATAATATGGGTTTTTCAAATTACATGATTAATCTAATCGAGCTGTTATCTTACGTTTTTCCTTAAAACGCTTATATGTTACATATATATATCTTTCTTGATTTAATATGAAAACATTGACCAATCATCGCTATATAGAAGATTAGTGAAGTTATGCATTACATATAATCTGGATATTACACCAACATTTTATATTTTTTACATTTTTTTTATGGTTAATGTGACAGTGACAGGCAGTTCTTGCACAATGATATGGATTCTGTAATGCCTTGGTCACATTTGCTCAGATTTTCACTACGGCGCCCGGATGATTGAGTATTTTGTTCAAATCGGGCGGACGCCGGCCGATGGATCGGAGCAAATGTGACCCAAGCATCAGTATGCATTTGTGAAAACTAGTTACAATGTACGATCGACGATAAAATAGATTTAAGATTACATTTTATCTCCGAAAATATGTCCAGTGTGCTATCAAATTGGATAAATTCAATAAAATTGAGATGTCTTACGTCTGATCGATTCAACCTGATCGTTTAGGTAGTCTAGAGTCTCAACAGCTTCTGCATATTCTGAGTCAGATGAGGAGAATTTCTTTTCAAGGTTTCCAATTGTTTGTTCAAGCCTGCAAAAAGCATAATGAATAGCTTAATGTTATTGCACAAATGAACTGGTCTTCTTGCATTTATGTTAATGATTTTCAACTTTTGATGTTTACTACATACTCTTGTATACTCTTGCATCTTGGATATTCACTGACATTATGATATCAATTGGAATAAAAATATTAAACAGATTAAATAATCACCAAAATGACCTAATCAATTCATGCAAAAGAACGTAGCAGGCCTCACTTTTAGCTTTAGTATTTCTGACCAGTCATTTCTAATTTATTTCGGGTGAAAGTATAAAATACAAAATATTAAAAACTTTAAAAAGCGATTGGTTTTACGTGATATACAAAAATAAATATAACAAATAAAGGATATTAAATATGGATATGTAAAAATTTACCTTCCAAGACGTAGCGTTTGGGCATCTAACCTAGTATTGACCCCGCTGGAACCGGCATAAGATCCTCCCGGGAAAGAAAATTGACAATTACATTTATCACCTGCTGCGACATAAGCCACGAGTAACAAAAGTCCTAAGTACTTCATGATGGTGCTGCCATACAATAATTGCACCTCGTGAAAAAAATCCGACCAGACAACTATTTATACTATTCAAGTCTTATCTTCGGTTATTGATCAAGGATTACACGTTATTAATAATGTCTGAGTTTTCGAACGCTTTTTGACATGTAGGCAAAGCAAAGGATCATCTCCTTCAAACTACATGTATCTCATCATCATTATGTCAAATGTCACGTAAATGAAGTTAAATATATGTAAGTTCATCAACATTGTATGGAGACATGTTCTACCGTAAGCCAAGGCCGTCAATGTGATATGTTCTTTTGAACACTGTCTTTAACCTTTTGGTAAAAAACACATATGTAATAAAATGTACGCAATGCACTATAATCATGTATACAGTATATCATTAAGTAAAATACTAAAAATGCACACATTCTGGATCAACATAAACACTAGAAGTTATTCTAATAATTATGTCTAAAATGACTGTTAATTGATTATCACTAATTTTAAATGACATACTTCTCTGTCTGAGATCAAATCTACCCCCTCCATAATTTCACATCGGGTTATTTTAATGACACATATCAGCTTATATACTAGTTGTTTGAGTGTTCGAGCAAACTTGTATTGGCGTTCATTGGGAGTGGTGCGTAGGGTGCACCCCCTTTTAGTCAATATCCGGAGATTCCCTGAAGAGAGACTCGGAGGAAAATATATCTCTGTTTTTAATCATATGAAATCATGATATCTATGCCTGTGTCAATAATCTGCAAATGGCTAATAAGCCCATTTGAAGCAGATATAAGAAACCGTAATATTCAAAAATATATATAATGCTTGATTTCAATTCAGCATGGAATAAAAACCATTGACTTCTGTGAGAAGTTATTTGAAAGGAAACATCCCAGTTGGCCCATGCACTCACGTGGATCTGGAAGTCCCTCTTTGTTAAGATACAAGGTGACACAAAAATGACACCCACTTAATGTTGAATAACTTTTTTTTGCATGATATCAGAATTGTTCTTGGCAGATTAAACTAGCTATAGACTGCTTGGAGCAGCTCGGAAAGAAGTTTCGGATGACTTGCTCAACTTGATTCTACACAAAAATGCCACCTACCTTTTGTAACATAATTTTGTGAATACTAAAGATTTTTGCTAGTACTTCCAGGGAAAGGAAGTCCATTCAATTTAACACAAAATGATATGGTCACTTATTTCTAAAACTATGTTAACAGGAACATTTGCCCAAAATTTACTGGACACAAAAGATACATAAAGCCCCTTATAAAGCTAGGTTTATTGCTGGGTCTAGAGTATGTTCCACTAAAAAAATTTCTGGAATATTGACAAGGTGTCTTCAAGCTGTTAAAAATAATAGGGAGGCTTATTGTAAGGCTATTTTTAGAAATTCCGGGGTTAACCATTTGTGGATCCTTAAAAATACCAAACATCTTTTATCAAAATTTAATGACCCGATTTATTCAAAAGTTAAATGTATTTCAACGTGGGATTTTTCTACACTTTACACATCAATTCCTCATGACAAGTTAAAATACGAAATAGTTGGAATCATTAAAAAGACAATGATGGGTTGTAAATTTAAATATGTTAACTGTAATTCAAATAGGGCTTTCTTTTCTAGTGAACAATATGATAAATATATTTCTTTCACTGCAGTACAATTGTGAGGTTTTAGGCTTTCTTATTGATAATATATTTGTTTGGAAGTACAGTTTTACGTCAGAATGTAGGTATATCTCTTTTTAGCAGATCTTTTTCTATTCTCATATGAGTATAAGTTTTTACAAAGGACAATGAAAGATAAAAGTAAATTAAAAGATGGAAGATAGATAAAAGTCATTAATTTCGAAATTTCAAGTTTTACCACTTGAGATGCTGAAGGGTGTAGGAATGGCATAATTAAATTGGCAATGAACTCACAATTTTTTCACTTGGCACCTTTTGAGGTGGATCCCGGCTATGGCATTAATGGTTGAGAAACAGGGATCGAAACCAGCCATAGTTTTCTTCTGATGACCATTGTGAATTGTTGTGTTTTACGGATTATGATGACGGCTTTGCGAACGGATGTTGACCCTTTGAATTGCCTATGGACTTCGAGACTGGATTTTATATATCCCACATCATTTGAGACTGAATACTCTATCTTTTATGAGTACTAGTATCTACAACTATTTTGATGTTATGAGTATTGGCTATCAATTTTTTCAATTTTTCTTCAACATGTGTTGTAATGACTTCAGTATGAATGAAATGTCCCTTGGTGTTCTGGTCCTGGATTGTGATATTGGTTCTCGATTGGAGGGGGGAGGGGGCTGTTAGACATTGTTTCTTTTCACGTTAGATTATTGTTTTGGGATATATAGGGTCTACTTTTCTTATGACAGATTTACACTTACAGTTTGCTTTTCTTGTTGGGTTTCTTTAAAGTTTTTAGTCACCCTTCCCTTTGGCATTTGTGCTTATATATTACAAAAAGGTTGGTGTCATTTTTGTGTACAATCGACGAAACATCTTGAAACACTGTGATGACTCTAGTTGAGCTAACCATCTAAACTTCTTGTGGAGTTTTATCATAGAGTCTAGTTTCGATGTGTCAAGAATCAAGTCAGAATCTGTGCAGACAAAAAAAGTTATGCAACATTATGTGGGTGTCATTTTTTGTGTCACACTTCATACTTTGGAGACGACTGTCAGGCAATTGCGATGGAATCGCCTCTACGAATACTGCAGGCTAGGTGTATTACAATGAAGATGTTCTACATTGACTTCAGAGTGGTTTGGGTAGAATAGATCTTTAAAAAATATTAAAAACACATCGTTTTAGTTGCAGTTACGGTATTAGGTTGAGATGAAGCACATGCAAGAAAAAGTTTTAATTTTACACTTCACTATCTGATTATAAGGGTGATCAAGGAAAGGGGCAATACGAAGTTGGTATTTGTTGTAAATTATGATTGTAATTTTACACCTAATCTTCGAACGTGACGTATTAGTTAAGATAATTGCAATAAACATGAGTTCTAGTTCATATATACTATGAACCTTCTGTATGCCCTCATAATTTAAATTATCGCATGTCTAGACCAGAAATATTATTTTGACCCCAGAGTCGAAGTAAGAACGAGTGCAAGAATGTGGATTAAAAGATAATTCTTAATTAATATGCCCGTTGTGTTCGTGACATACATCACGTCCAGTCTGTAATCGACTATAAAATTAAAAACGAACCAAATGTAAAATGCATTCGTTTTAACTACTGACAGTGAAACAACGACACATAAAGGTAATTTCACGTCTTTATATTTATATCATTATTGATTTGAAATATTCATCCGGGCTATATAAAATTAAGACAAAAAAACAAACAAATATGCATGAAAATATTTAAACATTGAATATACTTCTTAACTTGTGCAAATAATTTTATTTCATGCAGACCACTTGGTTTGAATAATCATATAAACGCTAAGATAACTCTTTTGTGATGGTTGTTTTCAACTCAGTTAATTTACAAATAAAAGGTCTAAAATCTAAATAAAAACTTATTGATAATTTTAACTGGTGGTAAGATTAAATAATATCCAGACCTCATAAGGAGCGTCACCTTTAAAAAGCGCTAAACATGACACATACCTATTTGATTTCCAGAATTTGCAATGGCAAAACTCTTGATTGCTGCTGCCTTCATGGCAATTGTTGCTGCGGCTTATGCCAGTGATTGTTGTAACGGCGCTGATAGGAAAACTGTACTAAGACAGTGGGAGTCCGTCTGGAAAGCCAACTATAACAATGCAAGAGCTAACATTGCCAAAGACATCTTCGCAAGGTAAAACTTTAGTAAACATATTGCTCTGTATCGATACTCAATTTCACATTAAAGGTCGCATAAAGAAATGTGCACGACTTGTGCTTTCCATTTTCTCTAACTAGTAAATCGTCATGGTTCTTTATGTCAACTGGTTATCATTTCACTATCATACTATGTTCATAGCATCGAGATAGCAAAAGGAGTAACTTGAACACTTGCATTTCCAAGTTGTAACTTTATATACACCGGAAACTGGAGACCTTAACAAATTGAATGGAACTGAGAATATACCTCTATGTTTTTAAAGATTCTTCGCCAAGGTGCCAGAGGCCAAGCCCCTCTTCACACGAGTGAAGGTTGAAGATCCAAAGAGCGCAGCATTTTCTGCACATGCAATTAGAATCATAAGCGGACTTGACATCGCACTTAATCTCTTGTCTGACCCACAAACCCTCAATGAAGAGCTGTCTCACCTCAGTGCCCAGCACGTGGCACGTATCAGTGGTGGATTCGAGCCACGCTACTTCGATGTAAGTATTATGAGAATATAGAAATACATTTTATTATGACAAGACATAGATTAGGAGTCACACTTCTATTTATTTCGTATTGAAAGAACGATGAATAATTTATAAAATACCACTAGACTACAAAATGATAATTAGTCTGCTTTACTATTATACATATACATGTACTAATAAATGCAATGTCAGCGACTTATACAAGGGGCGATCCATATATTCTGATAAAAATGCTCTCGTTTTGTGATTTTTTCACATATGCCTTTCATTTTTTCAGAACATGTAGATTATGTAATTACACATACGATGCTAAACTATTTTAGCTATATCTTAAATTAATTTTGAAATAAGGTTGCCATGGTAACCTGTATTTAGGGTAGGCAGGTCGGTTAAATTATAACGTCAAAAATAGATAAATATGTTAATTTAATCATTCCTCGGCACCTATTTTAAGCAGACCAAACGCATCTTCCAGTCATTGCCAACTATTCATTGATCTGTTCCATACCCCTGTTGCCCTTGTTTGATAATTTATACAGTGAGATAGCTATCTTTTCATGAGTAACATCTTAATTTATCGTAGTATTATTCTCTGTCCGCAAGCTCTTCTTGCAACCAGATTGTGGATGATCTTCAACAGTGACCATGCCTTCCTCTTTACAATACTACCTATAGATGCTTTATGCAGATAAAACACCTTGCCCATGCACTTAATAAGTCCATGTATGTCTCTGACAGTGTCCTCTAACTTATTCTTAAAAGAAAAGAAAATCTAATTGTATTCCCTAATGTATCCGTTAATGTCACACTCTGCATCAGCCACATTAACCTCATCTGACAATTTGATTTTTGGTGTGTCTCATAACATGTAATGTCAATTGGCCCATTCTGTCCTACAATGCTATTGTGATTTGTTGTGATGTTATAGTGAGCACATATAAACATTTGTTTAGCAACAAACAAAGAGTGAAGAGTAACAATACCAAACTCTTTTAGAAAAATGCATGCTTTTCGCATGCTTTAAAATAATTAAAATATCACATTATTATGATATTTATATGTTATAATTTAATTGACCTGCCTACCCTTAATACAGGTTACCATGGCAACCTTATCTCATTGATAATTTAAGATATAGCTATAATATTTTAGCATTGTATGTGTAATTACATAATCTACATTTTCTGACAAAATAAGAGGGATATGTGAAAAAATCACAAAATGAGAGCATTTTTATCAGAATATATGGATCGCCCCTTGTATATCAACTTAAACTCTATATGACTTTGTGCTAGACTGTTAGTGGTAATCTTTATTTCAGCTTTTCGAAGAACCACTCAAGGAAACCCTCAATGAAGTCACATCTGGATTTGACGCAAACGCATGGGGAGCCTGCTACAAATACATCGCCGCTGGACTCAAAGCAAAGTTCTAAATTACAACATGGACAATGTTTTACAGCGTAACAATGACTATTTATGAAATTAGACAGTTGATCAATAAAATTTAGTAATCAAGTCAACGAAATTCGTTCTTCATTGTCATCAGAAACGATTCATTGGCATTCTTATGACATCCGGTTGATTCAGGAAAACCAACTATGAAATTGAAATTGTAAATATTGTACATAGTCCAAGTGTGCTCTATATATTATGTATGTATTATAGTATCATGTTATTTACAATAAATACACATTTCGGCAATATTCTATTCATGTAATTTTCATGCATTGCAATTCTAACCACAGAGGAACGATTGAAAGTAATAATGGTATTAAGAAAGCACAAATTCAAATGCAATATATGATAATCGAATCATAATGAAGTCGTATTAACCATGACATAATAAGTTCCGTAAAGAACCAATGAATCAAAAATTAAACATACACTGTTTCTGTAAAGTAAAGAAAGGCACTTTAATTCTTGAAAACTTCAATTGATACTCAACAGAACATAAATCATGATAATATATTACTCAAAATCACTCAATCTATTTAAAATAATATAATGGTATTGCCAGTGAATGAAATGTTTCAGAAAATGTATTTAACTTTTTTTTATTAAACTCAATGTAACATATTTACAGGTTGTCTTTAAACATACAACACCAAGGCATGTAATCAGAGGATGGCATTTGAAAGCATAAACACAACTAAGACATTAAAAAACAAATTGAAAAAAAAATTACACATTGATATGCAAACACAATATTTGAGATATGAACCAAAAATGCAATTATCACCAGATTTTTGTATACATGATTTAAAAAACACTGCACATTAGGAATTAAGAAACATAAATATCTAAACACAACCAAAAATTGTAAAGAAACCATAAAAATCAAAGTCAAATTGTAAACTTGTCATAAGAAAATATACCAATATAATCAAAACCATGATTTAACGTGCAATGTCCATAATCCCCCTCTCTTTCAATTCTAAATAAATATGTTTCGTCGCGTGAGAATGGAATTGTACAAAGTGCCATTTTCATAAAAAATTAGATAAACATGGAATCTTACTATTTGAAATATAATACATCTTATATTAAAACACAGTATGCCAATATGCATGTTATTGTATTAAGAATGAAAAAATAATTGTTGATGTGTAAACATTCATCAAAAACGAAGAATATTATTTAATAAAATAAAGAAAACAATTAATTTATAAAACTTTAAAATTAATTTCTCAAATAAGTACATTTATTTCTTAATTCTAGAATCCCAGAACACCCTTCAAAAGGCTTCATGTCATTTGAAACTAAGGGAGAAGTACAATATATGTCCTTAAACCAAGGATGCCTAGTACTGTCCCCTACATTTTCCTCAGGATAAACCCTCTAGCCTAAACCACCAACTACATGACCAATTTTTATTATTACATGCGCATGGAAGCAATTTGAAAATAGAAATATTATTTTCTATTCATACTGTAGATTCATGAAACTGATTTGTTCAAGCAATTATTTTCCATTCTTTTTCTGTAATTATTTTGAATATGTCTAACGGTTCCATGTATATAGAAGGATATGTTAGAGATCTAGTTTAGGCATATTTTCAATTGAATATTAAGTATCTGTTTGCTACTCTGTGGAGTACAAATGGGTTTTAAAAAGGGGGAATTAAAGCTAACAAAGAAAATCTGGAGTGGATACTAAGATTGACTCTCTGTGAAGAAATTGAACAAATTTACTCTTGTAACGGAGAAGATTGATGAAGTTAAAACAATAATCAAGTACATGCCTTTGAAGGACAAATGGATGATGGTTGATATATTGTATATGCAAAAAGTGCACCAAGGCAGGGAATACAAAAAGAGAGAACATACTATAAATGCAAAAAAACACAAATTTGAAAAACATTAAAAACAAACAAGATTCCAGATGTTCAAAGAAAAGTGCAAAATAAATCATAGATGAAGAGAAAGTAAAATAAATGTTTTAAGGGAAGTTCAAAAGAAAAACTATACTAACATAAAGACAACTCCAAATTATTACTCCTGTATTGTATTGGTCAGTAAAAGTAAAATTTAGTTTAAACGAATGTAACTTTCAATCCATAAAGTACATAACATCAGTTTGAAAGAGATTAAGTATACAAATGAGAACTGCCTCGAGGGGAAAGTGCAAAATATGTCAGTCACTATTTGTTTTGATTACTTATATCTATTATATAAAACCCATTATATGCACTGGCGGATTAGGGGGGGGGGGGGGGGGCCCAGGGGCCCGGGCCCCCCCCTCCTTGGGTGGGCCCAGAAAAAAAAATTGGGCCCAAAAATTTTTTTGGGCCAAACAAGGCCTTCAGGCCCCAAAAAGTGGGCCTTTTTGGTCATTACTGGGCCTTTTAAGGCCTTATTTGTTAATTTCAGGCCAAATTTTGAAGAAAATGGGCCTCAAAATTTCAAAATTTGGGCCCACTTTTGGATTTTAGGGGCCCAAAATTTTTTTTCGCGCAAGCGCGGCCGTTTTTTTCTCTGACCTGAAATTTTGGCCCCCCCCCTTGTTGGTTCCTGGATCCGCCCCTGATATGTACTATATAAAGAGATACAGTAGTCTTTCAGTTTCTTTTTTAAGGTTAAGTTTTATTTATTTGCAATAAGATTTTACACTTGTTAACATACTAGGAAGGCCTAGGTAAAACATTACATTATTGGCCTCCCTTATATAAAATATGCAAAATTAACATATATTTATAACGGTTATCAAAACATGTGTCCTGTCTTTTGTAAGTGTTACATGGTCCTTATGGGGAATGTAAGGAATGAACAGATGAATGATAATGATTGATGAAAGATGGGTTGAACTTTGTCCTTATTATCATGAATTTTTTATAAAAATAATCAGATGATTTTGTCAATAAGATTTGCTGATAAATTGGTAATTTCTTTGTTACATTCATCTGAAAGTTTACAATCTCCAAAAAGCATAATCTTGATTTTACTAGCCTTTGTTAAAGTGGCAAAGTTGTTATAATTAAATTAAAACTAGGCAGCTCCTTCAGGTTTTGGGTAAAAACTTCTCTGGCTCCATTCGATAGAGAGCAATCAAGGAGTAAATGAGACTTAGTTTGCTGTTGATATCCACAGGGGCAACTGGGATCTGTAAACTCTTTAAAATTGTGTCTGTAAAAATCTGCTCTGGATGCCAGGTCAACTCGGATACGATTCAATTTAATTTCGATAGATCTTTTGAGGTTTAATTTTGTGGTCAGCACTGAACGGGGGTTGGGGTTATATTTCTATTTATTGTAACGTGACTTAAAGGCTGATATTGAGGGACTGTTCTTGACGTCAAAAGAGATAGTTTTCCATATTCTTATTGGTGCAATGGCTGGTGAATTTGTGAATTTTGTGGATGATTTAGCAGGAATGTTGTATTCGTGCCGGGCACGAAGAGCACGCTCTACCCCAGGATTTTGAAGATTTCTGTATATGTCATGAACATAACTAGGAAC